TGAATGGGAGGGGGGGGGGGGGGGGGGGGGGCGTAGAAGTGCACTTGGGTTATCTCTCGCACGCGCCCGCGGTACACAACCACCAAGAAATGGGACTATCAGTATTTGTTTTGATCCTATCGCGATCAGGTGACTGCAGATGAGGCCTACCGTTCACACACTAAACGTTGGCACGTTTGTTTCAACCCCCCCGTTTTCTTCGAGGTTCGGATTCTGCCTAAAATTTTGCGCCGTATCGCGCGGGGGATCACTCCTTACGAGAACACCCTGGTGGTGATTTTTCTCCCGCCTCTCCCCCTCCCCCTCGCCCCTTTACATTTCAACACGCCCCCGACAATATTTTCAACCCCGACCCTCAAAACGTCGTTTTTTTTCTCAGCGAGGCCGAGATCGCAGCGGCAAAGGAAATGTACGACCGCCTGAAGGTCGTAGGTAGAAAGAGACCCCGCTCCAAGGCCAAGCCCCGCTTCCACGGCGCCGGCAAGGGTAAGGTCAAGGGGGACGCGGGCGGGACCGGCACGGGGATCAACAGCGGAGTCGCGAGGAGGGAAGGCGGCGCAGTCGACGAGGAGGAGGAGGAGGAGGACCAGGAGGAGGACCAGGAGGAAGAGGAGGAGGGGGGCGCGGCGGCTGCTGCTGCTGCTGCTGTCGTGAACTCCGATCCGATGGATGTGGACGACGGCGGCGCAGGGGAACCCGCAGAGCGGGACGGCAAGAGTAGCCCACAAGACGGCGCCGGCGCGAGTGACGCGGCGGCGGCGGCGGCGGCAGCGGGTGCCGCTGCTGCGTCGAAGAACGCAGGAGGGCAACACGGGCCCTCGGCAGTTCCTCGGTAGGCCCTTCGGGTAGACGGGGAGGAGAACCGCGGTGCGGCGCTTGAAACTCCCAGCCAGCCTTTGCAGCGGTTGGTGCTGCTTCGAAGAACGGGGGAGGACTGGAGGGCCCTCCATAGCTCCCCGGGCACCGGGGTAGGCGGGGAGGACGGCGCCGGCGGCGCCTGAAACTGTCAGCCGACCTTGGGACGAAGGCCAAGTCGTCCGGAGCGTCGGTGTTGCGGGAAGCCTGGGTTGACGGGTTGGAAACTATCCTCCCGTTGGCAGCAGAGGCCTTGCGGATCGGGCGATTGAACTTGTCGCCGAAGAGCTGGCCTGTTGAAAGCGATGGCGGCCGCGACCCGCTGCTGTGACCAGGCAGTGGACTCACGCCGGACCCCTGATTGGTGGAATGTAGAGACTTAGCCGCGGCTTTCTAGCGTTTTCGAGCGGGGACGGCGGATGAGCGACTTAGAGGAGAGAGGAGGAGGAGGAGGAGGAGGGTGTTGTGGGCTTACTTGAATAGAATAATGGCACAAGATCTGCGATTGCTGTGATGAGATGCGTGTTTGGCTCTTTGCGAATGGGTTTGTGTTGAAAGTTGGCTCGTTTTTTCCCGTCGTGTGTCCCCCCGCCCAACAACACCACATCGGATCTCGAGGGGAGCGTAGTTGTTTTATCACGATATCAGCGTGTTCTTGATTGGGAACATCCCACTCCTTGACCGGGGGTTCGAGTCTTGGGGCTCCCTCACCTCTCCAAAATGTCGGCGATCAGAACACCAACACACACATGTACAATATGCGGAATGCTTTCGATACAAGGGGTTTTAGCGTGTGCGGTTCTTGTCCTGTTTTTTGGCCTCCAGTTGCTTCGGGTGTGTTGTCTGGTCCGAACATCTCTCCATCGTTATTGTCATGGTGTTGACTTGACTTGCGTGGTCGATTCGATGCAAGTGTGCCTGCCTTCATGAGGGCGAATCCCAGGTAAGGCCGGTCATACTTCATGAACATGCTTGAAAAACGGTACTGGATAATTGGTGCAGATGCACGACCGGAGGTTGTTCGTGTGGTGCGAAATTATCCTCGTGGACGCGATCTCTCTTTTGTCCTGTGTGTGCTTGTCTCTGTTGTTGTGGGCGTCAGTGTAATAATTTACGATACAACAAATACATACGGTATTGCCGAATCGAATCTCGTTGTGTTTTTGGCGTAAGTAGCGCTCTGGGTGAGCCTGTTTTAGTGGGTTTCGCTGCTGTACTATTCGCAAGTGTTGTCAACTATGAGATTGGAGGGACCAGGCCGTCTACTATTTTTGGTGTTTGTCCTTTCTTAGTGCTGCAGTAGCGTACAACTAGGGGGCTCCGCGGAGGAGATTTTCAAATGACACGGTTGGGATGTTGTTCGACGGCACGCTGCCCGGAGCAGGAGGGTCATATCCTTATCCCCACGACGAGAAGTGGGTGGAGGCGGTGGTGGATGCTTGAACGCGGGAACACACAAATCACCTCGCATTTTGTTTTCGCATGCTCAAAAGAGACGACGACAACGAAGCCACGAAAACAGCGGCGAACGTGAGGCCTTTCTCCCCCTATTCATGGAACGAAACAATGTCAAATTGAAGAGGGCCCAGACCTGAGCTGAAGTCTCTACACAAAACGGGGGGAACACACGGAGCAACAAACCCCGGCGACCGAGCGCAGCTGGTTGCCGTGTCGTCTGTCTTCCAGGCATAAATAGGTTGAACTTGAACGGTACTCACTGCTGTCCGCATATATAGCGGGATTCATGCCTGCCGCCGCTCTCCTCCTTTCCGACCAAGAGAGGGTACTCGCCTGCTGATGTATCCCCACAACTGTGCTACGTACATACAAGACGCTCGCTCCCCCTCCGTGGCGCTACACTACACCCGCGATGCCGCCGTAAAAAAAGCACGCAAGAAATCCTTAGAGGGCCAGTTTTTGCGCTCTGGCTGCTGCATGTTCGTGCTCAAAATAGTTGATTGACAGCTACATGTGCCGCTGCAACTACCCGTCACTTCTATTAAAAAGAACAAAGACAATCTACAAGGTTTAGTTGGCGCCATGACTGCCGCTTACATGTTGAAAAATCACCATCACAAATCTTGAACCAGCTACATACATGCACGCGCTGCTGCAACTTGTACTACCGCCCCTTTTTTCTAGGCGGCAAGGCAGGACGCGCTGCCCTCCCCAGCGACGCCAGCCCACACCCCGCCCCCGCCGCCCCCCACCCTTCACAGCAGTACGCCCTGTGCGCCACGACCACAACGGCCCAGGCGAGCACGGCGGCGGCCCCGCAGACGGCCTGCATCGTGGCGTCGAAGACGAACTTGGGCGCGAAGACCGCCCACAGCATGAGGTGACCCCGCTGAACCGACACGTTGGCGGCGGACAGGAAGGTGCGGATGGCACTGAGCAGGAGCGTGAGGCCCGACAGCCGCTCCATGGCCGACAGCATGCTTGTGGTCTCCTGCGCCTGTGCCTGCGTCTGCGCCTGCGCCTGCGCCTCCGCCGCAGCATCATTGCCGGCGTCGTCGGGGTGGTTCCCGTCCCAGCGGCCGGCCACCGAGTGCGGCCGAGGTGATGGCGGCGAAGACAGCGACTGCCGGTCGTTCGGCCTACTACTACCGCTGACAGCCTCGGGCAGCACTGGCGGGGCGGCGTCCTGAGACACCCCGCTTGCGGCGGCGGCGGCGGCAGCTAGCGGAAGCGCGAGGGCGGCGAGAATCTCGGTCCCGAACGTGTTGAGGAAGAGCAGCACGCCGCCGACCTTGAAGTCGAACTCATCGAAGCCTGATCGGTGATGAGTACGCCAAAAAACAGTCGTGAATATTAACGAACGAGGGCAAGCAAGAACGGGCCACGTTCGGAAATGTGGGTGAGGATGACAGGGGACGGGGACATGAGTCCCGAGACGAGACGGGGGGCGGCGAACAAGGGTACGAGGATTACGTACGTACTTCGTTCTTTGCAAGATCTGATCGATGGCGCAGCTGGTGTTGAGCCGGGCCGAGAGGCAACGCCTCTCCAGGGTTTTCCCGTAAGAAATCGGAGACACGTCGCCCGTGCGTACGGAACCGCGAAAAAAAAAACCGCCTTGGCAGTCTTGCGGGGCACACCGGAAGGGGTTCGACGAGGCTGCCTTTCAAGGGACGCACGACCACCCCACCATGAAGATGACACTGCTGTGTTGTTGAAAGAATCAGAGAGGCTCTTTCGCCAGCTACACGCACGTGTATATCTGTGTGGTCAATTCAAAACAACGAAACCGCACACGGTCGACGCCCAACCGACGCAGAATACATGAGGTTCCTTCGTGTCATCAACATCTAGCACGCACCCACCAACACACACACACACACAGGCCACGTGCCCGAACCACTAACCCTAGCCCAACTCACCGACGAAGGCCGCCGAGTACTGAAGCCTGCTGAACTGGTTGTGGTGCCCCGTCAAGAAAAAAAACGCGCGTCCCACGACCGACCAGGAGACGGCCACCGCGCCAAGTGGAAGAACCGCACCGCCGCGGCCGCCGCCGCCGCCGCCGGTCGTCCTACCCGCCGCCGTAACGGAGACGCTCCTCAACACGCAGCCGCACGCCGCCGACACGAAGGCCACGACGGCGGGCGACCCCGGTCCCAGCAGCAGCACGACCACCGGAAGGAGGTGGGACACCACCGTCGCCGCCGTGCCGGCCAACGACTGCGCGTACGACCAAGACGAGGACGATCCGTTCCCCCCAGGCGGCGTGCAGGTTCTCCCTTCCTCACCCTTTTGGGGGACCGGGTCTTGCTGCTTCCGCCGCCGCCGCCCATGCGGGCGCAGCAACGCCACCGCCAGTCCGGCTAGACACAACAGGTACGTCGCCCGCGGCAGAAGAAGCCTCGCGGGAGGCAGCAGCGAGCCAAAGAGCGCCGCTCCCGCCGCTCCACCTTGTGACAAGCCGCCAGTTGCCGCCGCCGCCGCCGCTGCCCCCGTGCCGTGCTCCTTCCCCGCTTCCGCGGCCGCGGCCGCCACTACCTCGTTGACCCAGTATGCGCCGATGGCCGCGAGGCTCAAGGCTTGCACCGCCCCGTGGGAGCAGCGCCGACGAGCCCACCCCGATGCCGCTCCCAATACACCACCCGACAAGGACACCGCCGCAGGAGCACCACGCGTGTTGGCCACATCAACCGCCCCACTCCCCCACAACATACGACCGTCGCCGCCGCCGCCGCCGCCGCCGCGTGCAAGCCGGCAGAGATACCACAGCGCGGGAAGGGGCAGCAGGGACCGGGAGACCCCGAAGGCCGCCTCTGTGGAAACCCCTCCCTCCGCCGCCGAGTCCTGGACCGCGGCGGCGGCGCGCAGGCACGCGGCGGCCAGGGCCGCGTACAGCGCCGCCGTGGACTTGGGGGAGAGCCCCAGCAGCAGCCCCAACCGGTCGTCGCATCTCGGACTCGCGAATCCAATGCTGCTGCTGCTGCCGGTGTTCTCAACCACCGCACGTGCCGTCCACGATGATGATATGTCGTCGTAGTCGAGGTCGGCAGGTGTGGCAGGCGGCGGCGGAGCGGGCACCAGGAGGATCAAGACGGCGAGGGAGACGAGGGAGGATGCCCCCAAGAAACGGTGGAGCCCGTCCTCCGCCTCAATGAAGCTGTTGCTGAACAGGCCGGCGCAGTACAGCGCCGACAGGACCGCCGTAAAGGCGACGCCAACGGAAAGACCGCCTCCTTTAGTAGTCCCCGTCATCGTCCTCGCGCCGCCAGAGGAAGGAGGAGCCGCGCCAGACGCCGTCCAACTGCCGGCCGAGGCTACGACCTGCGCGTAGTGGATGCACATGCCGACGCTGGAACAGATGGCGACCTTGGCGGCGAAGACGTGCGGGCCGGAGGAGCCGAACACCAGGTCTGTGAGGATTGCTATCGCCAGGCTTGCGGCCGCGCCCACCGCCGCCGCTCCTGACGAGAGGAAGGGGTAGGGAGGGCAACCGACGACGACGGAGACGAGGAGGGCAAGAGAGGAAACAGAAAAACCTCAGGCGTTACTCCTGTATTGCAAAACAACTCGCCGGCTTCAATGATGATGCGTCGTACATTGCAAACATATTCTTGCCCGCGTTTGGTCGGCGCTGCAACTCCTGCGACAGTCGAGACCGGGTCTTGCATCCTGCGACGCCAACGCTCGAGAGACGACAACGACGATGACACGAAAAGAACGAGGAACGCACCGCCAATACTTTTCGCGTTACCAGAGTTCAAAAGATTTCTCGCACCTGAATCGCCCGAACATATGCCGTAAGCCGGAAGCGCACCACATGCATGCACAGCCAAAAGGCGGATGATGCGCATCACCACGTTTCGCACTACCAGAGAAAAAAAAAAAAGATTCACGCTGTGAACGGAGAGACGCACTTGAATCGCCCGAGGATGCCGGAGAAGAAGACATCGACGAGGAGACCGCTCGAAAGGCCAGCGCCGCGGCGGCGACAAGTAGGACCGCGAGCCCCCACCACATGAGCGACGTGTCGTACTGCGTCCACAGGCTTCGCCCGAGCCCGATCGAGGCGTCGAGGAACTCTCGGTACATGCCGCACACCCGGCGCAGCTCTCTCGCGCTGGAGGCGGAGGCGTTGCCGTCGTCTTCGAGAGCCCCCTTGCTGGCGTGACTGGGCGGTTCGAGGAGAGGGTCAAGCGGGGGCGGGGGGGGGGGGGCGGGGGTTGTTATGATGCTGATGTCGACGGCGGTTGGCGGAGCGTGTCGTGGATCTTGGGATTGTGACCGAAGCTCTTTCTGCCACCGGAACTAACGGTCCGTAGGGAGGCAGAGTATCTCTGTTAGCGACTGCGTCTGCTGGATGTATGTTGTTGGGAGTGGTGGACAAAAACAGCAGCAGCAAAAACAGAGACAGAGCAACACCAGCAGCAGCGGCAGCAACAGAGAACACTCAGGGCTCACTCATGGTGGGTGGATCACACAGAGAGCACAACTGCGTGACCACTGACACCAAACATAATCGGAGCACGATTTCGCAAGTTTACCAATTACCCACACCCGGCCAATAAACAAATCACTAACTCTCGAGGGAAGATAAACCGCACACACGGGTCCCTAACAGAAACAACCACACCACCTGGTCGCTACAACTCCCCATTGCTACTCGCGGGCACTTCAATTATATCCAGATCCCCCGAAGGACCTACAGCAGCACCTGGATCCCACAGGAATATACCGAAAATACACACACACATTATCCGGAGAGTAGCTTAGCCTCCCCCATGACACCCTCTCACGGGGTCCCAGATCTTGGCTTTCATATATATTATTTTCTTCAGTCTTCAACCGCACCGAGACTGACGAATTTTCTTTGTTCAGTCGGAGAGTGGGGTCGATGCTAACAAACACACCCACACACACACACACAGTCTTGGTAGACGCGTCCAGTTTTCTTCTGTTGCTGCTGTTTCTGTCTTTGATCCGAAGGATAGTTTAGCCTCCCCCATGCTGCCCCCTCACGGGGTCCCAGTTCATGGCAGATAGAAGTGTTTTGTGCTTTCAACCGCACTAAGACTGACGTCTTTTCATTGGTCAGCCGGTTAGCGCGGTCGATGCTAATAAACACACACACACACACACACTCACAGCGGGAGGTACACAGCATTGTCGCACGACCCACCTTCTTTGCTGCTGCCGTCGTTTCCACTCCGTGTGGGCTTCGCGTGCCGCGAGAAGCAGCTCGTTGAGGTCGAACATGTCTCTCGTCGGCATCGACGCCACGCTGGCGTAGTCGCTCAGGTATCTCCACACCTTGCGATCGATCGAGAGAGATACGAGTTACAGACATTGCGTTATTTTCACGTCGCGCGAAGGGAATAAAAGGGTCGGGAGAAGAAGTGTCAGTGCAGTATTGTCCGCCGCTGAGAAACGATCTACGCGGTGAAAAAAAAAAACACTCTGATAAACCCGGTTTTCTCTTCAACCGCCGTAATATGCACTGCACCTACTTCTCATGACGGGACAGCCACTTGCACTCTCATGAATCCGAACATAATCTTGGAAGATATATCACAAACCGGGGTATGGCCGCTGCTACTTGTACCGAGGGGTTTGGCTTCGCCTCGCCGCTTGTTTCGGGCGGGTTTGCTGTGATGCCTCTCCTGCTCTTGCAAAGCGCGTGCGCCCAGTTCTGTTTTCGAACTCGTAGCTAAGCTCCTCGCACCACCACGACAGCGGGAACACCAAGCCGATACATGCGCTTGCCAGATCCTCCCTCCCCGACTTTGTCTCTCTAGCTATTGAGAGACGCCCCCAAACACGAAACAACGCCTTTCCGGCATAACATTCTCCTACGTGCGATTCCACCCAATACCCAACGAAAAAAAGGCGCACAAGGACGACGCATATCCCGTCCCATTCGCAGCCCCCCCCCCCCCGCCTACCTGCACAGAGTTGACCAGAAGAGCGTCGCACAACCGCTCCAGATAACGGGGCCCGCGCTCATCGTCCCCGCTCCCCCCGCCGTCCAAGTACGCGCCGCCGAACACCTCGGGGATGACCCCTCCCAGGCTCCCGAAAGGAATCGGCGTTCCCAGGAGCAAAGAGATGGTCGGAACAAGGTCGATCTGGGCGACCCTTCTTGCCGCGGGCACCGGCCCAGAATGATCCTCTTCGCTTCCTTCCTCTTCTCCCGCCGCCACATCTCCGTGACCCTGGGAGGGCCCTCCCTGCCTCCTGTCCGTCGAGCCCCCGTCAGCACCAGTTACGGTTTCGGAAGATGCGCCGCCCGTGCCACCGCTGTTCTTCTCCCGTCTGCTAGAAGGCGTCCCCCCGCTGTTGCGGCGATTTTTAAAGCCCGGGCCGAGAAGCCTCTCCCCGGATCGGCTCCACACCAGCAGAGCGGCGCCGGTCTCCTCGGGAGTTGCACCGCCGTGGTTGCCGTCCTCCGTCATGCCGTGGTCGCCAAGCACGAACACGACGGTTTCGTCGTCAACGCCCTCGAAGACCGTCCTGTGGCCGAGGGAGTTGATACAGAAAAACGGGCGTTTATTATAATTTCGGAGGAAGCGGGTGTCTACGCACATGGTTCGCGTCATCCGACGCCCGCGAATACCGTCCTGTGGCCGAGGGAGTTGATACAAAAGGGGGGGGGGAGGGGCGTCACACTTCGGAGGGAGAGGGGTCCACGCACATGGTACAAAGAACATGGGGTGCATCGCGAACTTATTTCTGCCGAGGATGCGAGAAGAGGCGGGGTGCGCGGGGCCTTGCGTGTCTGTAGAGGGGGACAGCTAGGACAACAATGTTGAGTTGGTGAGTAGCTTCCCGGTGTAGCCAAACCGCTTCATCACTCAGCGAAATGGACATGTTCTTGAGAAACCACTCAAGCAGTTTCCGCTTACATACACAAAGAGGTTCCCTGTTTAGTGCCGGCATGTGCCCAGAGTTTCACCGGCACAACACCGGACCGGCACTATTCAAAGTACTGACAATGACTTGGAAATTCAGTGTGTGCCCGCCGAAAACACGGGCACCATACCGGGCATTGGCGCCATTCAACAGGGACCCCCTCTGCAGTTAGCGTCCGCACTCAAGAACCTGGAAGGAAAGAAACTGATTTTCGCTCAAAAAAGGGAAAAATGAACAACTTGGCCATGGAGAAAAGGTGCTCAATTAAAGAAGCCTGCACAAATAGTCGCTGTTGGAGTACGCGATAAAGTAAGGACCCTCGACCAGAAAAGAGGTTCTTGGGCTAACGTGCACAGCTAGTGGCGGCCCTTAAATACTGCGGTGTAGTGACAAGCAAGAAACAACCGCTGGGATATCGGGACAACGCACTATTGAGTGTTGGAGGGAATATATAGCTTTCAGGTGACCACGGGAATCGACCACGTCAAGTACTAAGACTAGTAGGTACAGAAGAAGGTACTGGACAGAGAGAACGGAACGGTTTATAATGTGAAGGCAACAACAACAACAACAACAACAACAACAGCAGTAAGGTAGCCAACAAGCGGGCGATGTATCAGTACCCGCACTGCTCGGGACCGCGGCAGGTCTACCGGGACCAAGACCGTACTCGCCTCAGGGCGGCGTTCATCTGGTCGAGCTTGTCCTCCATTGCCTGAGAGGCCGGGCCGAAGGTGTGCCCCACGTGGTCCACGCCCAGGAAGTGCGCCACGAGGACGTCCCAGTCGCGCTTGCCCAGCTCCGTCGACAGATGGGAGAGCACGCCGTCGTCTACCGTGTGCAGGTCTCTTGGGGGGGGTGTGTGTGTGAGAGGAGAGCGGGCGAAAAAGAAAAACGTGCACGGAGAGGAACGAGAGAGTACCAGCAAATGAGCGAGGATGTGATAAGTGAGGATGGGAGCGAACTGGGGAGAGGAAGTAGAGGCCGGTGGCATGAAAAAATGGCGAGGCGGTCAAGACAACGTGCACGGGGCGGAGCAAGAGAGCACCGGCAGTTGGGCGGCTGATGTTTGATAGCGAGCCTGTGAGGGGAGCGGGGAGAGGAAATACAGTTGGCCCATGGCATGGCGGATGGTTTGGTGGTAAAGCTTACGGAGGACATGCTTGTTTGGCGTCGCGTGAGGGAGGCACACCAGGATACGACAGTCAATAAGAGTTTCGCGGGCAAAAAATAGCCCACGAGCACGCACAAAATAGAGCAGCAAATCAGCCCCACGCGGCCGGGTGTTGCTATCGACAATACTCGCGCCCCCCCCCCACCTGGTGTTGAACGACGGGAACGGATAGCTGCGCGAGAAGTACGTCGGGTACAAAGACGTCCACGTATCGTCCCCCATGAACACGAGCTCGCCCCCGCCCCCGTCCCGGCTCCCGCCGCCTCCGCTGCTGGCGGCGTTGACGTCCCCGCTCGCCCCTCGTCGTCTTGCCGCCCTCTCCCGCACCTGCGCGACCCAGTTGTCCTCCGCTATCTGGGCGCTGTGGAAGTTGTCGCGGAAATCTATGAAGGTAGGTAGCCCTCCCGTGGTTAGGCCTTTCAGCCTCTGTCCAGTAGACGTTGAGACGTTGTTGCGGGGTACCCGAGAAGAGTTGGGGTGGGGGCAACACGAGGGGTGAATGGGCACGTGTTGAAACGCGTGGTGTTAATTTAAAAGGCTGCTCTTGCTGTTTAACTTTGTTGCTGCGCTTCCCTTGTAGTCTGTGGAGGATGCGGCCGAATCGCGCTCGTGAGGGTGTGTGCACCAGCTCCTGCAGAAACATACACCTCCGGCATCAGATATCACCAATCATCCTTAACATTGGTCCCAAACATCTGACGCATTCATCGTTGTTGTCCACGGCTGTTGTTAAAAAAACTGCCGCCACCGCAGAGCCTCTTGTTTCGCCCCGAGACTCGTCCCTCTGCTTGCTCTTGGGGAATAGTGGCGGGGACTCAACAGGTTTTCAGGATAAGATGGGTTTCGAGTTCTTCAGGGACGAGAATGTCGAACCCTCAAATCATTCGCTTCAACGTGTCAAACGACCAGTGGTGGCGCGTTCTGTTGTTAATACGGAATGCACGCCACTCGATTATTGGAAAAATTATCCCGCAGGTTGCGTAAGCTATCACATCCACCCCCTGGGCTGATTTTCAGAGCTTGGTTACTCGGCAAGGAAAATGAGTGACGGCGCCGAAAATGGCGGACATGGAACGGTCCGGTCGAGGCTTGCCGAACACGTATCGTTTTCCTTCGGCATCCTCTTGGTCGTGGAGTAATCGAGCTTTGAAAATCGGTCCAGGGGGTGTGTGGTATCTTATGCAACCTACGGTACTTCTTGCCTCACAGAGACGGCGACAAACGTACCACGACATTGACCCAGCATTTGGAGAAGCATGCCTTGAAATCATTTCTGCTCGGCAAGTTGTGGATTGGCAACACTGCAGTGAAAATTGCGGGTAGAGAAAGACAGAAATACCCCTGTCGATGTTCCCTGACAGTTTATCTCTTTTGGAATCGCGAGCTGGCACAAAGGTGCACACACGCTGTATTTAGAAGCGTTTTCTATTTGTGAGCTGCTGTGAGACGGAAGTTTCGCCATTGGCGAGCCAGGTAGTGCCTTAGATGCCAATATCAGACACAAAGACACCAACACACGGTGTCCCGGATCATGACCTCTAGAAGCGTTTTGTGTTTTCAGCCGTACTGAGACTGGCGTCTTTTCATTGATCAGCCGGTTTAGCGCGGTCGATGCAAACAAACAGACACACCTGCATTGTGACCGTCGGGGGGTCTGCCTCGAACTGAAACAGGACGCCCCCGGACCCCTCAAAAGCAGAAGAAGACGAGTCGTTGTTGTTGTTGTTGTTGCTGTTGCTTCCGCCGCCGCCGGCGCCACCGCCGATGGCCTCGTTGATTACCGGGAGGTGGTTGAGGTAGTGCCTGGCGCCTGCTCTCGAAACGCAAGGGCGACAGTTGAACAGGGCGGTGAGTGTGGTCTACCAGGCATCGGACGGTGTTGGACGCGTTCCTCCCAACGGGGGCACCGCCTGCGAGGGAAACCGTCTCGTACGCGCGCGCTGGGGGCGGGAGCCGATCCCGAAATCTCCACCCAACATAGCAAATGATAATCTGCGCCCGCTCTGGCAAAGCTAGGACCAAGACTCGTAAACACGTGAGATTTTTGGCAGCACAAGACATGGAAGCTGCTGTGCGCGACGACATCGCGATGGTTCACGTCACCAAGGAGGACATTTGTCAGGTGGGGTTTGGAGTCCTCTTCATGTACCCAAGAAGGAAGCGGTTAACCACCTACACCAGAAAAAAATCTTGGTGGAGACGGCAGCAAAACTTCAAGGCCTGGAGGAAACCCCCGGCACACGAATCTTACCCGCGGAGTGGGGCTTGTCCTGGAGCCCCTGCCCGGCATCGTCCGGCGGCGAAAACGCGGCGAAATCGTACCGCAGCGCGTCTACCACCACCCACACCACGCGCTTGAAACGTGGAGGCAGCCAGCACCCATCCAGTAGTTGCTGCTGCTGCGGCTGCTGCTGCTGCTGTGTGTCGGCAGACGGAGTTCCGCCCCGCTGGTGCTGTTGTCGAATCGCGACGTCCGATAGGTGCTCGAGTTCGCCCGGGCTTAGCAGCGACTTGATCTTGACGAGAGATGGACGCGTGGGGGGGGTGGGGGGGTCGAGAGAGGAGTTGTTTAGGGGTATTGTAACGCCCAAGGGACAGGGCAAGGGGGATGCTGTTGGCCAAGGTATCGGTCGCTGGATCCAAGTTGAAAGAAATAACAAGAATGATTGACGGACGCTTTTCGCGACGAAAGCCATGTAAGGTTAGCGCCGCGGAAGGGGGGCGGAGACCCCAAAAAAAAAATCGCTCTCTTTTTGGGGCCTTTTCTTCTGTGTGTTGCCCCGCGCGATACGTCCAAAGCCTACGCCCGCAAGCAGTCGGTACGCCGTGCTTTTGTTTGCAACATTTGCGGACCATCCCAATCTCTTTCTGTTGCCAAAACCCTTGTCTTTCGGCACCCTTCGACAACTTCGGCGCGCTGTTTTGGACATTGTGGTGCGGTCCGCGTTCTGCAGTCGATGCTGCTGCTGTTGTTGTCTTCACATAAAAAACACCGTTCCAATCTCTCTGCACAACAGCAGTACTGCTGTACCATCATCTGTTCGTACTGATCTGCCATTTGACGCGGTCGATTCCCTTGGTACTTTTCAAAATGCATGGAACTAGCCGGTGTTCGGAGGCCGTGTAGATCAAGCACGCACCACAGCCTGTGCTATAGTAGTTGTTTGGAAAATCACTGCTGCTGTTCAGTGACAGCTATTGGGGGATGCGGTCTACAACCTACACTTCGTAGTAGCACCCTGTTCAAAGCCAGCAGATACCACGGAAGGTCACCTGCGGCGCCGTCTTCGGATATTTCGGTGGCCTGGAAAAAATAAACAACGGCGGGTCCATTTTCCATGGGCTGCACCCGTGTGAGTGTTCCGCAGCTACCTATCAGCTAGTGTCCTACATACCATTCCCACGAACGGCACGCAGGAGTGTTGCAACATCACCTGCAAGAACTGCAGTGCAACAAGCAACACAGCTTCGCTTTGGGGGTAAGCCACCCACAGCAACACGCGATCTTTGAAACCATTCTTTGGAAGAACAAAACCTCGGAGGAGACATACAACACCGACTTGAACAATTCAACAAGGGCGACGCCGGCAAAAGTCTCTGTGATGAGCAAGAAGTAGTAATAGCATGCATTATAAATAAAGCTCTGCTGCGCCGTACAAGTCCAGCCAATGCCGTGCGTTGGCTCACATCACACTGCGATTGACGTTCCAGCTCCACGCGGGTGAGGAAGAATCCCTTGGTGAAAGCCGCGAGGCCTGTCAACTGTACCGCTAGCACCCAGCCGAAGAACACTAGAGCGTGGATTGGATTATGCACACTCCGCTGCACCGTATTCATGGCTCCATGCACAAAAATCCAACAGCTCAAACAGGTGCACGGCCCGCACAGCCACCACCGCTTTGCTTTGCGGCACACAGCAGTGCACCATCGCCAGGCAGCGACGAAGCGGCGAAAATACGGGGGCTCCGCGGATGACCGCAGAAAAGTCCAGCCCCATCACGGGAATGACGTCATGACCGCCCACTGCCCTGTGTGCTGTGCCATGCGTGGGGCATCTCGCATCCTGTGATCGGGCGCCTCGGGTGCCATTGGTGACAGCATGGGCGAAGAGGAGGCAAAAATGTCACTGCACGAGGCTCTCACAATGCAACTCGACGAGGTTTGACCGTATATTGGAGAATATGCATGATGTTTCACAGGCAGCAGTCACGAACTAATACTGCTGCTGCTTACAAGTATTTGTATCTGTGTCGAGTTTAGCATGCAGTGAGTATTCTACTCCATTAGTATGTTGTATTAGTCTGGCGGGCATGCATACACAATCATAATTCCATCCAAAAACTTGTCACATGCATGTTGGGAAGTTTGGTTGGGTTTGATGGGTAAGGCGCTGCAGGCACAGACTACTGCTGTACACTGCGGTATGATTACACATGGCTCCGTTACAGGGAGTAGTCTAGAGGAATGTGCAGAGAGTGTGGAAACGGTGGCCCGTACAATATAAATACTACTGACGTAGTCTAGTCTAATGGTTTTGCACCTGCATTTGCGCGCGTGCGTTTTGGTGGGGTTCGGTGCGTAAGGCGCTGAAGGAAAAGGCTAGAAACCCTATACTGCTGTATGATACAGATCATGGCCTCAATTCGGGGAGAGGAACGTGTAGCGAGTACATTGAAACGGTACCCTGTACTACTACGGTACGTACTGTAGTCTAGTCTACTGGTTTTGTACCTGCCTTGCGCGCGTGCATGGGCGAGGTTCTGTTGATGCGATCGGACGTGGCGCGCTAATTGATTGCCACCCGACCTACGTAAAAATATATGATTGCTCGACTGCTGTGGGTATATCTCGAATGGGTAGTCTTTCTGTGTGTGTTTTTATTATTCCTTAATTGCTTCAATTTTCATTCCTCGCGCGCGCTCACCACATCCTACCACGATTTGTTGTGCCAGATGGAACTACTGGAGACGGCGTATCCTGAGTTGACGTTCGACACGCCGGACGCTCGCCCACTCCTGCGCGCGGCGCTTGATGGGTCGTTTGAGAGGCAACATACATCCGACCAAAAAGCCGAAGAAATCCGGCTGCAAGAAGCCCTGGCGGACACTCCTCTGCTATCTTTCCGCTGCACCCTTCCACTCAAAGAAGCCCAGCTTAGAGTTCGGCTGCCGCACGAGTACCCTGACGCTCCCCTCCTTGTCAAGGTTGAGGGAACGCCGCAACTCACGGTGTCGGCGAGGAAGGCAATATCAGATGCCGTTACAGACGAGGCGACTAGGCTGTCGCGGGACAACAGAAGAGAGCCACAGTGCCTCGAGGTGCTGGGAGCGGCGATGCAGACATCGGTTGATTTGGCCGATCGCGAGTCGACCGGGGGGCAAGCCTCACAAGCAGGAGGGTGCCACGAGATCTCGGGATGCGGCGGCGGCGGTATGACCACCAGCGCAGCTCCTTGCTTACCCCACACGTGCTCATCGGAAGGAGAAGAACGGGGCATCTCTCATCATTCCAACAACGTTGGCGCAACGAAGAGAGTTGTATCGAATTCAGGGGAGCCTGATGGAGAACCTGTTTTCCTTGGCAGGCGCCTAATATATTCTCACCACATCATTGCGACGCAGAAGAGGACGGGGATCATGAAGGCGGCGAGAGATCTCAGGCTGGGCGGTTTCAGCAAGGTGGGGTTTTCGGCGCTAGCACTAAACGGCGTTTCATCGGCTGCATCATGTAGTCCGATATGGCTGGAAACATGGATCGCCTCGAATTCACGTGTCAGGAATTTGTTTTGTACGACAAAGTGAATTCCCGCCAACGACCCCGATAAACTGTGCAGGTACATAACGAATGGCGTGTATTTCCCTACAGACAATGGCCTGCTTTTGTTTCCTCTCTATGTACCTCCTTGTTTTCGTTCTTTTTTCCATGCCCCGGAAAGTATTTCATTTCGGACGTGCACTCAAGTTACTTCAAACTTAGTGGGTGCTGATTCAACACCTCGTTTGATCACTTCAACTTGTACCGCTCATCAAAAAAGGTGGGCTGGCCTGGCGTGATCGTGGTTGAAGGCGAAGAGGGATCCTGCGAAGATTTTGTTAGCACCCTGCGCGGTTGGCGTTGGAAGCACCTTACAGTTCGTGGAGAAGAAAAAGTCCGAGTCCCGAACGGACGAACTTTGGATCAGGAACGCCGCTTGCCTGCTCTCCTGATAGAACTTGGGGAAAAAGAAGGAGTGTCGGTCCTCGCGAAGCACTGCAGAGAAGCCGGTCTCGGCGAGCTTTTCTCAACCCTTCTTCGATGACGACAAACGCAGTGTTCTACCCAACACCGCGCAGGGTTCGTTATGTTTGGTCAAACCTGCTGTGAGTTATCTTCTTCGACCAGGATATTATCGCCGTCGACGGGCTTTCTGTGAAGTTCTCACTCGATGCCGGAGAACCGGAAACAAACGCTATTAGCGCCGCTGGACTTATTCTATGTACCGCCCGCGAGGACGCCGGGGGATGAACAGTCGTCCTAGGATTAGGCCGGCCGCACAATGTGAAGCCGATGGCATCGCAAGGAACGGGCTCTCAACCATCCAAGGCCGCTTTGGCCCCTTGGCCATCCTTCAACAGGTTGATTCTAGCTTTGACGCACGCTGTTTCGACGCACTTCCTACAGCAGTACTCCAACAGCTCCACCATACACAGAATATCTGTCATTGAAAACATCGGGTAGTACAGCAGCAAGACAACCATGTGCGTCGGCATTTACTTTCGGTGTAATGTCCACGTGACAGACAGATGTATGCACACAGGGTTAGGGGCTTGTGCCCTCGTTACCTGCAGCCGTCATCTTGTAATCCCGTTCATGTACTGCCTCTTTGTAGCCTTCAAGTCTGGCTTTAGCACCGTACACGTCAACACTCAATGATGTCTTCACGGTGCCGGTGCCGGCCTTGATGGAGAAACCCAGAATCGCCTCCATATGGCCGGGTGACCTTTTCAAGGCAGACCAAGCCCCTTGGCACGATGCGGCCTTTTCCAGGGGAGTGTATGCCGCTGTCACTCTAGCTCCTTGTGGCTAAACGTGCGGGTTTCATGTTCCCGACTTACCTACAGATGCTCCGATACACCTGCATTCTAATAGGGTGCGGCTTGAAAGTGTCTGCACGACGGGCAGGAAATCTTATCGCCAAGCCCACCACAAATGGTCTATCATAGGTGGCACCGTGGTTGACGAATCTTGTTTTCGTATGCACCATCCTGAGCCGACTTGACACCCATGATATCTGTTAGGGTTGGGTCAGTTGCAAGAAGTACGCAGAATTTCCGTACCAACAAGAGGGGGTCCTGCGCCTAGGGCTTGCCCATGTCAAACCTTGGATACGTTGGAAACAAACCAGGAACATAATTTTATAATTTTGGCTGAATTTCATGCTTTCAATGATGACAACAAAACTTGAAACAGTTCGGTGAATAGGCAGCCGGAGGCGGCCCCTACCACTTAAAGCACCCCGCGTCGTATCCCTTCGCGCATGGTACAACGCTTGAGTTCGTTCATGCTCTCTTCTGTCCACCGCCCTCTACATCATACACCACGCTGCTCGTCGCCCAAGACACAAATTTCGCGCAGGCTATTACCGACACACAACGTGACATGTTTCGACAGGAGCGTCCCGTCTGACTATTGACCCACACACCGCCAGCAACAACTCATCATGTACATTGAACATTCGACCAAAAAAAAAACACTAGACGGCAGATACTTCTGCCAGACACGTCATGCGACGCACGAACTCCGATTTACACATGCGACTCCGAGTTACACATGCGAGGACACCAGGCCTGCCAGGCCATTACCCCCCCTAGTCCCAGATTAAAAAGTACACCCAAACAGCTACATTGTACGTGTGATTTACCTGCTCTGGTGAAAAACCAACGTCTTGTAGGCAAGCGAACCCCAACAGACGTACACAACCAACAGCAGTCCAAAGAGCACTATGGCACACAGCTCAAGAAGCTCAAAAGGGTGGGATCACACGGCGGTTCTATCACCCGCCGCGGGATCCCTTTTCACTAACAAAACGCGGGCGTTACACAACGACGGTTGCCGTCTAGCACGATCGGGACACATGTTTGGCCCGGTAGCAATGGGCAAGCCGTGCGATAAGCAGGCCTGTGTGCATTCATATATCGCCAAGCCATCCAACGCTGGTTGTGCTCAATGCGAATGGCTGCTCTTGTTGCCCACGCCTATGACGCACGGCTTTTTTCTCAAGCCAAAAAACAAGAACCAGAAGGAATCCGGGGAACCATCCGTGGCGGCAGCTTGCACCAATTTCACGTCCCTACATACAACCCCGTGTCCCGCGTAGCGTCACCACGTGTGGGGGAGGTGATCGACCAACCGTCGAATCGCCGCACTTCACCGGTGTACCACGCGGGGGTGGGGTGGGGCGGCCAAATAAGCTCTTTCGTGCCTCCGCCCACCTCTACATGGCGAGAGTTGCAGCATAAAAGCGCCCGGAGTAAATATCTTTGATCGGATCGAACGATACCGCCATGTTCTCCAACTTCCCAATGTCCTTGATCTGGAAGATGCGCATTGGTTGGTTGGGGCGCGAACGTCGGGTTAGTTTGCGAGAGCAGGCGGGGGAACATAAGACATGAAATTGACAGAAAACAAGGCTGGGGAGATGCCGTACAAACGCGTGTATGACAGTTGACACTCAAGGGACATTGCACCTGCGCCACACGTATCATATTATAAACCTTGTAGAAACCCTAGCGACAAAAATCCACAATGGGGGTTCGTTGACAGCCTCGCAATTTCTGCCCCAGGTGGACACATGAAGATACGCTCAGGGCATTCTGCAGCACAAGAGGAACGCTATCACCCTCGTTCTCGGTGTCCGCCTTTGGACAGGATCTGCTGCACGAAAAAAACGTAACGGCTGTCTGTCTGGTTCTCACTCACCTCTCTACACAGGTGAGCCCCAGCCTTAAACTTAGGACTTGACGGGTCGACGTTTAAGAGGCACACCGACATGCACGCCTCTTGGGCCAGAAAACTCCGCACGGATTCATTTTTCGGTCCAATTTGCACGCAAGCCACGGCTTGAACACTCGAGCCCTTGCAGCACGCTAGGGTGAATCGTCGTTTGCGTGCCGCAACCACCCCTGATCTCCACGCAACCTGAGATATGCAGTACAAAACGACATTCGTTCAAGCAAAAGGAAGCGAACAATGAAATAGACGCGAAAATGGCAGACACGGCCATGCGCTTCTACGAGTACCATAGAACCAATAGTGCTTGTTTTGTTAGGTGTGCCATATAGAGCGTAGGATGCGAGATGGTTGGGAGGTATACTTCTAAGGGTCTATCCCACATCATGACTAATCTGCGTGCCCTCCGAGAGTGTGCCCCCTGAGAGATGGATGTGCATCTTTCGTTCAGACCTCTGTTTCACCTAGAATTCAGACAACGTCCCATTTCTGCACAATCGTGGATCCAGAGCATCGAGTGACCCGTACCAAAAATACTCACGAGACTATCCCAACCGTCTCGTTCCGTTCCCCACGATTTGCACCTCTGGACACGGGTTCTCTCTACCGTATTGTCTGCCCCTCTACAACACGACCGCTTGCAACCAAATCGGCCTTCTATGCCTACCCACCCACCCTGTTCACCAAATCAGCAGTCTGTCTCCTTGTTCTCACCATCTTGTTGAGGATCTCGATGCACTCGGCGAACTTTTCCCCGCCGTCCCGCTGGGCGTAGTCCCTCCAGCTCGTAAGAATTACGCTCTTCTCCGGTTCGATCAGCTCACGCACGAACAACTCGTCTCCGTTCCCCCCGCCACCCGTGCGTTTCTTGGGCTGAGTGGGATGATCGAGATCGTGTGCATGTACATGGGGGTGTCGGCGCGGACTCGTATGTTTCGCATGACTTAGCTGTTGGACAACGAGTCATCGAGAGGACGGAGTATTGTTCCCATAGGATCGATCACCGATGGCCAATCGTCCCTTCTTACGTTGCCAACGGTGGCTCATGTTTTTTTTTACGTATCCTTATACTTCAAGTACTTCCTACTGATGTCAATTCCTGCCTTTTCAGCTCACTTCCGATACCCCAGTATAGCGCCTGGCGGTTCCGTGCATCAAACATCTCTCCGTAACTCCCTTCAAGTTTTTCCAGCTGAGTCATGTACAACTCGCTCTCCTTTTCATAAAACCGGCATTCTGTAACTACATGAACTCGGTCTTCTCACTCGGAGGCGCATTCACACGTGCACTTGGTCGTTGTCCTCGTTTACGTTCGTAACTCTTCGTCTACGTTCTCGAAATGTCCCCAGTCCTGCATTTTACCGAATGTTGTCCCTGCATCCATTGTCCAGGGATGTAGGTGAGCCCTACTCCTCTCCTTCCATATGTCATCTACAGAAACATAGCGCCCACTCCGTGGGTTGTAATCCCCCCCTCTTGTTGGCCCACTTCGCCTCCCAACAAGCTTTTCTCGGCAACCTTGCCTCTCCCACATCATGCAGGCGGCACTGCCATTGAGCTTGACACAAGTGTCTCTTCCATTACTGCTGCATTACTTGTGCGCTTGGAGCATCCTTCGTTGACACACGCAAACGTGTAGGAGTTGGGGCTGGGCACAAGGGGCGCTCTCTGTTCCCCACTCATGCTAGAATCGATGAGTTCTTGAAGAGTTGGGCGGTCGGACGATCCACACGTTTGTCCCCCGATGGAATTTATGAATATATTCTGCCGCCAGACATCGCGTGAAATTTGAAAAAAAAAAAACGGGACTCGCAAAAACGCGATATTTCAAATGCTCGTTGGCATGTGCATACATGGAGGGATCTAACTCTTCACGCCTCTCTTCTCATACCGCCCCTTGCGAGAAAAATACCTACTTGCTGATAAGTAGGTGCACAGGCTAGGTTCGGTATGCCTTCACAATAGCAGGATGAGTTCTACCGGAGGCCCACCCTATCGTAGGGGCGGCCAGTTGAGGACGATTTTTGGGCGAGCAGCAAACGTTCTAAAGCCTTGCTTTAACAGCTAAATACAGAAAGGAGAACACGCAATATTGTTTCTCTCTCCTGGCGAAGCTGCCCCCTATGTTACAGCCGGTCGCTTCGGGCGTACCGAAATCAGGTTGGTGTGCGTGGTACGCCCTGTGCGTAAACCTGTTCTTGCTTGCATCGAGCACGAGTTGGGTCTGACGAGTTACAGCAGTTGTTACACTTCCCCGCCGACTGCCGCGGTGTACATACCGGCGGCTTGACTGGAGGAGATGGGGACATCGACATGGACAGCCGACTTATTGGCCCCCTTCTTGGCGAGCTGGTGACGGCATCAGCAGTACCACTCCGCTTGCTTCCAAGGGTCAGGGCACGGAAGAAGTCGTATCCTGCTGCGCTGGTCGTCGACGTGTCGGGGCTGAACTTGGCGTGATGCGCCAGGTACGGAGAGGCCGACGGCGACACCCCTGGGACGAACCCCGAGCAGAGAACACAAGCCTGGGACAGCAGCAACAGGATCACGAGCCTGGTGGCCTTGGAGCTGACCCAGTCCATCATGGTTGGGCAATGCACAGTACAACAGCACCCGTTTTTTCCTGCTGGTGCGATCCGCGATCCGACAGAGAAGAGGGGGCGAGCCGGCCGGCCTGCTGTACAACATCGATTGCGCCGCTTTACAAACTGCGGAGCCCCCCGCTGGTGGAGCTCCTCTCGGAAAAGTTGTGTCGGCAGCAGCTGGCACTGCAGCCCGTGCAAGTGTACCCGGTGCGTTGACTGTGCATCACATCAGCACCGGACGCAAAACAAGAGTTTATAGTTCTTTAAGGGTGTGCCATGTGCGAAACAAAGACTACTGGGCGGTGGCGAGGGCAGCGAGACGGCGATGGGAAGATGCTGTCGAACCAAGATCTAGACATGATCGCGGCGTACAAGTACAAACCGGGCGCGTACACGCACCTCGACAACCTCCTCACGCCCTTCTGGAACTGGGCGGTGACGCTCCTCCCCATGTGGATGGCGCCCAACCTCGTGACCTTCATCGGCCTCGCCGGGACGTGCCTGGCGTCGCTGTTGGTGACGAGCTACAGCCCGGGCCTGGAGGGGGAGACGGTGCCGTCGTGGTGCTCCCTGCTCTTCGCCTTGGCCTTGTTCTTGTACCAGACGCTGGACGCCATCGACGGAAAGCAGGCCAGGAGAACCAACAGCTCCAGCCCGCTCGGGCAGCTCTTTGATCACGGCTGCGATGCGGCCGTCAAGGTGAGAGGGGGGGTTGGTTGGGGTGTCGAAAATTCCACAAGAAAAGTTCTGTGTGTTGGGAGAATCTGAACTTCGATGAGACCCGCCGCCAGATAACTGGACCGTTTGGGCCCATGAAGGCGCGAAAGGGTTGACCGGTGCAAAGCAGCAAAGCACAGGGCTTTTCCTGCGTGGTATTGCTTCGCAGCTGCGCAGGTTTTGGAGGCACAACTGCTGTATCCCAGAAGCCCAATGCTACCAAAAAGACTGGCGAAAAAAGTTACCACACTGCAAACACGAATGTTCGGATTCTCAAAACAGGAAATGAAGAAAGAGGCACGATTTAAGAATTCTCCAGACGTAAAGATCCAGAACAAAGGAGGAGGAAGAACACACTCTCACTTCCTTTTGTCAAACCTGTGCAAGACAGGAAAACAGAGGAAAGGAGAGTCTCCTTTTTGAGACGCTCATCATCCGTCCGCGCCCTCCGCTCTCCTCGAGCGGCGACCCCGACCGTCCGTCCCTCTGGGATTAGTTCCTTTCCCCTGTTTGTGTTTCTCTTCTTCCCGGTTCATCATGGCAACGGTGCCGAGTTTCCAGCTAGATGCCCTCCACGCGCCAGGACCCGAGGCAGTCATCGAGCAGTTATACGACCTCTGCGCGCCGAAGAGTGGCAACGGCGGTGAGCGGGTCATGGACCTGACCCGCCTGGGCGTGCTACCGCACGGACGGCAGCTGGAAACAGCCTCCCTAGACGACCTGTGCCGGATCTTCGGCGCTTTGGTCGACGCCGGCTCAGCCAGCGACAAGCCTGGCATGATGGCGGTCGGCCTTCCCGCGCGTGGGAATGCCGACTCCGTGGCCGTGGGCGACGCCCGCATGAAGGCGGCCCTAGCCCAGGCCCTCCTCCAGTACCTGTGGCGCTGCGACCACCACGGCGGTCTCCGGCTATCGGCGACCGCGGTTCTTCTCCCGGCTCCTCCCACCTTGGCGACCGCACCTTCAGCAGCAGAAGGAGCACCCTCTTCCGCCCCTTCAGCAAGGGCCGGCAGCACACCCTCTTCCCCTTCCTCTGCATCCACGTCGGCTGCGGCGGCAGCGGCTGCCTCGCCGTCTTCCCCCGCCACTACCGCGGGCGAGGCTACCGCGGGCAAGCGCCTCCGGTCGGAGATCTCTGGAGCCGTGGCGGACCTGGAGGAGGAGAGTGTGGCCGGGGATCGCGAGCCTCGAGTGAAGAAGAAGTCGCTCGTGTACACCACAATTTCCAGCAAGGTGAGTCTTGTAGACATTATATGGTTCTTGCTCGTTTTCGGCCGGCCCACGTCCCACAGCAGTCGTCGTCTCTCCCCGTCCCTCATGGATTTCTGCACTGCAGCATTCGTTCGTCGTGCTCTCTCTCAGCATTCCCTGCCGTCATTTTCTTCGACGCAGGCCATAGCTGGCTGCCCGTGGGTTTCATCACGTGGTGCTTACAATATGAGTGGATTTTCCTTTCGGGAACGCCCGCTCGACATATATTTGTTCGTTTTCAACATCCTCTCTTTTTCTTCTCCTCACGGCGCCCGCCTCTTGCCGGTGTGCTCTTGCTTAGGAGATACTGCTGTGTAGCCGTACGTAGGGACGTGGGTCGCCATCTAGTTTCTGTCTCTATGGTAGGTGGTAGGTGTCTATGGTAGGTGTCTTTCTTTTGGGCTATCCGTGAGCGGCGTCACACGCTCGGATTTGTAAAATTGCTTGTTCGTCGCGCACTTGCACCCGTCACCTCTACAACCTACTTGAAACTTACACCCACAACATCTATTGGGTGAGGGCATGCCGCCTCCGCGCGCTAGCCCCTTTTCGTTTCTCTTCTCCCCTGCTATACATCACGTTTCATTTTCGTTTGTGAGGGACTCTTTCGGTTGCTCTCTCCGTGGCATCTCTTTCTGTCAACATGTCGACTTTGGCAGAACAATATGTCAATATATAATATATTATTATATATGTATATTTATATATTTAATATTTCTATGCATATTATTGTATATTGATATATATACATATTGTTCTTCAAAGCCTATATATATCTTGTTCTTCAAGTAGCCGACATCTCTCTCTCTCTATAAATATATTGGCTACCCCCTTTTCGTTTCTCTTCTCCCCTGCTATACATCACGTTTCATTTTCGTTTGTGAGGGACTCTTTCGGTTGCTCTCTCCGTGGCATCTCTTTCTGTCAACATGTCGACTTTGGCAGAACAATATGTAACTATATAATATATTATTATGCATGTATATTTATATATTTAATATTTCTATGCATATTATTATATATTGATATATATACATATTGTTCTTCAAAGCCTATATATATCTTGTTCTTCAAGAAGCCGACATCTCTCTCTCTCTATAAATATATTTCTCCTTGTGCGATCCGTTCGGAGGCAGTTTCAGGTACCGCCTCTCGCCACCTGCTGGGCCCGCAGGGCGAAGAAAGCGGGATGTACCACTTTGTTTTAGAAAGCGCTACGGGCGCCGCATGGCAGCCATCCTGTTTGGAACATGTTTCCACTGTCGTAGGTCCGGCGTTTTCTTTCCCTCACCGTTTTCACCTCGATTTGGTTGTCTCGGCCCGTCTTTTCCTACGCGTTTCTCCGCTATCTCAGCTACCCATCTCTCATGGTTTTTTCTCACTCTCACCGTTTTTCGGCTCGGTTTTCTCAAGCGTTTCTCCGCTTCAGTTCGGTTTTTTCTCAAGCGATTCTCCGCTATCTCAGCTACCCATCTCTCGGGTTTTTCTCTCTCTCACCGTTTTTCAGCTCGGTTTTCTCAAGCGTTTCTCCGCTATCTCAGCTACCCATGTCTCAGGGTGTTTTCTTTCCTTCACCGTTTCTCAACTCGGTTTCTCAAGCGATTCTCCGCTATCTCAGCTACCCATCTCTCGGGTTTTTTCTCCCTCTCACCGTTTTTCAGCTCGGTTTTCTCAAGCGTTTCTCCACTATCTCAGCTACCCGTGTCTCAGGGTTTTTTCTTTCCTTCGCCGTTTTTCAGCTCGGTTTCTCAAGCGATTCTCCGCTATCTCCGCTGCCCATCTCTCGGGTTTTTTCTCCCTCTCACCGTTTTCTCCGCTATCTCAGCTACCCATTTCGCGGGTTTTGTCTTTCTTTCACCGTTTTTCAGCTCGGTTTTCTCACGCGTTTCTCTGCTATCTCAGCTACCCTCCTCTCGGGTGTTTTTTCTTTCTTTCACCGTTTCTCAACTCGGTTTCTCTCAAACGTTTCTCCGCTATCTCCGCTACCCTCTCTCAATTTTTCTTTCTTTCGCCGTATTTCAACTCGGTTTCTCTCCAGTCTCCACTGTTTCACATTTTCCACTCGGTTTCTCGAGCGTTTTCTCCGCTATTTTCTGACGTTTCTCCGCTATCTCCGGTTTTCAGCTCGGTTTCTTTTCTCGAGCGTTTTCTCCGCTATCTCAAATGTTTCAAGTGGATTTTTTCTCAACCGTTTCTCCGTTGTGTCAGCTATCCCTCTCTCAGGGTTGTTTCTTTCACCGTTTTCAGCTCGGTTTTATCCGGGCGTTTTTCTTCGCGTGTCTGGTTCCGATGTGCTTTACCCGTCTCTCCGGGTATCTCTTCTCGCCGTCTCTTTCCACTCGGTTTTTCTCAAGCGTTTCTCTGCTATCTCGCCCTTTCCGCGGCTTTCTTTTTTCGCAATTCTTCCCTTTCAGTTCGCAGCCCTGTGGACGGGTTTGCTTACCAGTGTAAGCGGGCTCACGACTTTCGACGCCTCCGTCAAGCACCAGCGGGTGCTAGAGATCAAAACCAAGGTCCAGGAGCTAGCTAGGCTAGCGGCTATGGACCCCGAGCTGACGGACGAACGCACGTTTGTCGACACGCTCGCCGTGGGTATTGATGCGGCGATGCAATGCGGCCGCCCGGATGCGGCCGCGGTATGGGTACATGACAAACTCATGTCCCAAACCGAGGAGGGTCGTAAAACGAGATCGTGGCCAGGTGGTAAAAGAGCTGTCGGCCATCACCAAGTTTCTGGGGGGGCCCAAGCATTCCTCAGCTCCAGCCGGACCTTGGAGCCCACCCCCCATGCAGCCCATGGCCCTTACCCCGCATTTTGGGGGATATAGCCCCTATGGTATGCAGCCACAGGGGGGGCACTATACCCCGAGCCGGGGACCCGGGGGGCGACACAGGGCCTCTGGCGGCCGCAGTAGCCGAGGGGGTGGCAGCGGGTTTAGCAGAAAGACCGCTTTGTGCAACACTTGCCGCCGTGCCGGCAAGACCGGGGCAGATATCGAACACTCGTTCCGTGTCTGCCCCTTTGTCCAATGCCATAAGTGCCATGGTCGGGGACACGTAATTCAGAATTGCCCCAACTAAATAGTTAGTGATTCGCTGAGCGGTACGCGTTTCTCGTCTGTTGGTTTCCCGGTTCTCGTCGTTCGGGGGGCATCTGGATGTTCAGCGACACGGGACATGTTTCTCTCGTTTCTGCCAAGTTTTCGCGTTCAGTGGGTTTTCGGCCGTTTTTCGGTTTTTCGCCTCGGAGTTTCCTTCATTGGTGAAAGTTCGTTATCTATTGGTTCAATCCACCTTTCTTTCTTTCAGCTCGAGGTTCATAAGGGTTTTCTCAGCCCGATATGATAGCCTTTCCTTTTCGAATGCACGCTCCCACCCACGCATCATGCGCGTCGGAGGACGCGTCGCCCGACCACGTATTTCCGGTCCGATGGGCACCATGTGGACTCACCAATTTCACCGTCCTGACTGATATACTCTGTAACGATTCTCACATTTCGTCACGTGATCCCACATTACCTCCTGAAATTACTGGTCATATACATCTTTCTCGAGCACTCTCCCACGCCTCTGCACCTTTCCCTTTCTTGGTTTGGACTTTGGTCGGCGGTTGACGCGCGGATCGATTCATGTAGATTTACACTGAAATCATCCTTAAACCTAGGTGAACGAAATTTCCACTTTGCGTGCTACTCTCCCCTAGCATATGCGACATAAGTCACACACGTGCAGCCAACAACATACGTTGGTTATGGCAAAACAAGCCCAGTTTTCCGACATCAGAGATTTTCTTCTACACATTTCATGCGTGTCACAGGTCGGATCGGGAGCAGCCTTGTTCCTCGCCGAGAGAGCCGCACGTACCGCACACATTCGCACACAGTTAGTGGGCGGGGACCTGATCAGTGCATCAGCGAAACAGTCAACCGTCGACCTCTCTAATATTCGGCGCCTTCAACAATCTCACTGCCTACCAGACCAAGCTAGGATGTGGGTGACGGACGATTTCGTTCCGGCTCACTTGCAAACAGCGACTGAGTTCTGGCGGGACGAAATTTTACAGGATACTCCCGTTGGAGATCGCAATACCCTCTTGGGGTGGGTCAAAGGGGTCAACGTTTACGACTTCGTAGACACAAAGGCAACAGGCATTTTTCACGGTGCTTCGTACAACGGCGCTGACCTTACGTCAATACATCTGCCGAACCACGTTCCCGACGAACATGTATCATGGGTCACGAGCGAAGTCGCTAAGCTCGCAGCGACAGGTTGCGTTACGAGATGGAAGGACGTCGCCGACGTTAGCGTATACGCCAAACCGCAAATGGTGCTCCCGTTGGGTGTGGAGCCCACGAAACCCAGGTTGATATGGGACGCACGGTGGCTTAATCTCATGTGCCGCCACCACCCTTTCAGCATGGATGGCGTAGGCAAGGTAGCTCAGTGCGCATGGCCCGGAGCTCATCAAGTCACTATTGATCATAAGGCTGGATACCACCACGTTGCCCTAGATAAGGGTTCTTGGCAATATTTTGGCTTCGAGTGGGAAGGCGAGCTGTACGTGTTTACCGTGCTTGCTTTCGGGTGGTGTTCAGCCCCGTTCATATACGCTTCTCTTTCAGAGGCAGTCGCTCGATACCTGCGAGCAAGAGACATTCCCGTGCTAACATGGATAGACGATTTCTATTTGACCAATTTTCGATCCACCCGCACGCTCAGCTATGACGAGCAGCTCAAAGCAGCTCAGACGACCGCGTATGTCGCACTAGAAGTTCTCTATAGCGCGGGATACTTCATTTCGCTGAAGAAGTGTGAGCTCATCCCTACGACGAGCTTGGTTTTCCTGGGGATTATCTGTGACTCCGATAACAGGCGTTTCGAGGTCCCAGAGGACAAACTCGCCAAGCTCGAGGCGATTCTAGTCGACGCTATTGCGTCGGAGTCCATCACCTTTCAGATGTTAGAGAAGCTCGCAGGCAAGTGCACTAGTCTATCGGTAGCGGTTCCGGTGGCGGCTCTTTACACGCACCATATGTACAAGAGCATCGCAGTTTTCCAGCGACGCGGCGGTCGCAAGCCTAGCATGACGATACCAGTCCCAAAGAACAGCGGTCTTATGTTCGAGTTGAAACGCTGGTTGGAAGTTCGTGAGCATTTCAACGGGGCGTCGTGGTACCGTGCCGAGCATAAGCAATTAGCTCTTACCGGGGCATCGGATGCCTCCTCGGGAGGATGGGGGGGACTCATTAGGAGTCCAGGCCAACCCATTTTCAAAGCAGGCGGAGATTTCCCGCTACACGTCGCGCAGCAACATATCAACGTGCAGGAAGGGTACGCTCTCCAGCAGACTCTGCGTCTGTTTTCGGATAGCCAACCTTCTCAGTTGGCCGGGTCCACCCTCATTTCCAAGGTGGATAGCAAAGTCTTACACGACGCCTTTAAGAAAGGGCGGTCTTCCAACACCCTCATGCATGAGATTATTACTGATCTGTTCTGGTTGCAAGTGCGACGCGATTTCACGCTGAAATTGAAGTGGGTGAGCTCCGAGGAAAACGCTGAGGCTGATGGTATTTCTAGACCAGGATCGGACGATTTTGTGAGACTAGATGAGCGGATGTTCGGCGACCTATGCGCGTGGGCGGGTGAGCAGGTGACCATGGATTTAATGGCCACACCCGCCTCGGTTCACAAGCGCTGGGTAGATGGGCGCTGCACTAGTGAGGATCTGCCATTTTACTCCAGATACCATACACAAGGGTGTGCCGGGGTTGACGTGCTTACGCAAAATGTTCGGTTCATGCCTGGTTCAACGACGGAGGAGTGTTTCGGTTTCTGCTTCCCTCCGACGAGCATGGTAGGAGTGTTTCTTCAGCACTTGGAGGAGTGTCGCGCAAAGGCGCTTGTGATCGTCCCAGATCGGAAGCAGTACTGGTTTCCACGGATAGCGGACGCGGCTACGCGATCACGGACGTTGTCGATCGGTAGCGGGGGTGAGTCACCCTTTTTCCGGGTACACCACCAGAAAGGGTCCGAGCGTTTTCATTTCAAACGGTCAGGAATGCTAGCTGTGGTAGTGGATTTCGCCCGGAATGCTAAGTGATGAAGAGTTCGTTCGGCTCGTTCTCAACGTGTCTCCTGTTCATGTTCGGTGGTTTGTGGGACAACGCATTCTTTACCAGGCTCTCCAGGCTGTGTTCACAGCCCTTGGCCTCATCGTGAGCATCTTAGAGGCGATAATTCCCAAGCGAGATCGTCTCGGCGAGGCGAAGCTTCCTCCTCCGCCGCTCGTGAAGGTGTCAGCATCGCGGGCACGGGTCTTATGCCCGGAGTGCCACAGTGAAAACGATGATTCGTTTCGGTTCTGTCAATGGTGCGGGTACTCAATAGCCCAGCACCAACCTCGGACAACACCTCCTCTTCAAGTGGACGAAGAGGCTATTTCAAGGCGATACCAACAATTTCTAAATGCATGGGCGGAGAAAGCTTCCGCGCGCAGTCGGTCGGCCACATGGGCTTTGTTCAGCAACTTCCTAGCATCTCGAAGGAACGGGTCTGTGTCTATTGAAAATGCACAACCAAAGGATGTGGTAGAGTTCCTGTGCTGGTTAGACTCCTGCGGTTCAAGACGGCGTACAATCGTGCATGCTAAACACTGCGAAGCCGTGGGCACCAAAGATCTTACAGCTTGTTCAACAGACAAGGGAGAATGTAGCCTTAGATACGCCTTTGACTCTCTCCGAACAAATCATGTCTCCAAGTTATCCATGGTGTTCGAGAAGGAAATGGGAGTGGTGACACCGTGGAGCAAGACCATGCGGGTTGGTAACCCGGTGAAAAGCGAGCTAGTTGCGCAATATATGGCGTTCACCACAAGTGAGCAAAAGCAGGCGGGAGTATTGGTGAAACAAGCACCGGTCATTCTTCGAAGCCATCTGGAGAAGATTATTTTTCCAATGCAGATCAGGCTTCAATACGCCTCATCCGACGTCGAACGGGTTACGTTGGCTAGGGACATTGCGTTCTTTTCGGTGGCTTTTAGCACAACCAAGAGAGGAGTGGAGCTCACAAATATCCTCATCCAACGTATTTTGCGACTCCCAAATCGAAGCGGCCTCATGTGCAATTTTCAGTGGGGAAAAACCCAACGGGATGGAGCGGATCATATCCTGACCGTACCGTATGATGAGGAATACGTGGCAATCTGCCCAGTTCGAGCGGTAGAGAGGTTTATAGCCGTGGGGAAGCAGGTCGGATGGGACACTACCTCAGGTTACCTTTTCCCAGACATTTCGGAGTCTATGCAAGGTGAAGCGCAGAGAGGCAAGTTGCCGGTGGCTACTAGCAGGATGTCTGAAGCACTAAAGAGATACGCCGCGGCAGTAGGAGAGACCCAAGGGTTCTCTCTACACTCCTTTAGGTCAGGAGGGGCGGTTTCCAGAGCCCTCGCAGGAGATTCTCTATCGACAATCATGCAGAAGGCATATTGGAAAAGTCCAAAGACTGCTTGGCGATACATGCGACTCATGGAAGTAGTGGCTCCAGGATCCGAGGGTACCGCCATGGTCGAGGGAGTTTCAGAGGAACAATACAGGCAGTTGAATGAGTTCGGTTTGAGTGAACAGAGCCGATCGTTGTCAGCGTTTAGCAATAAGCCTTTGCTTTAGGTGGTCTCGTTTGTTTATTTAAATGGTCTTATTTCAGCCATGGTCTCTCCTCAATGCCTCCACATTCATCTGTTTTCTATCAGTAAAGTATGGGATGAGAAAACTCATCTTGTTCGAGTGAGTTTCCTAAGTAAGGGAGAGAAGTGGATACACCGACCGCGGGAGGTGATGCCACTGTTTACATCCCATACTATCTGAGGAGAAGAACTGACTCGAAAATACTGATGGATTCTCAAAACAGGAAATGAAGAAAGAGGCACGATTTAAGAATTCTCCAGACGTAAAGATCCAGAACAAAGGAGGAGGAAGAACACACTCTCACTTCCTTTTGTCAAACCTGTGCAAGACAGGAAAACAGAGGAAAGGAGAGTCTCCTTTTTGAGACACCACCCACCCACCCAACGATTATTGGAATCTTTCTCGAATTTCTCTATTTCTATTTTCAGTCAATTTTTTCTCCGGAAAATACAATCGTCGCGGATGGGAAAGAAATAAATATAGATCGCTGTATTATTACTGCTTGACAGGAAACAGGATTGTTTCCCATAGCCATATTTATTTCTTTCCATTCGCTACGAAGTGGCAACACCAACCCCTGCGGGAGGTGATGCCACTGTTTACATCCCATACTATCTGAGGAGAAGAACTGACTCGAAAATACTGATGGATTTCCGAATTTGACAGTCTCGGCAGAGGAGACATCATTGCACATGATCATTGCACATGCCTGCGCACAACCGCCCTCATAAGCTATTTACAGCACTGGGAGTAGTGTGTTGTTGAAGTGTCCGGAATGAACGAGTGCATCACCACGAGGGATGTAAGTCTGAAGGGTGAAGAGAGGGGGGGGGGGGAGAAGAGGACTGCGAGAGAGACAGCGATGCAGAGATACAACAACAAAGACAGAGAGGCGGCGAGACAAAAGAGAGAAAACAGCGACAAGGACAGACACCATTCATTCAGGAGAGTTAAAACGTCAACCGAGCGCTGTTCCCTGACGACTTTTGGCTTGGGCTCGCGATCACAACGCGTGTGGGTCGACCCAAGCTCGGACACCTTCATGAACACAAAACCGAATGGCAGCCATCCATCCATCCATCCATTCCTTGTTCTGCAGGTACTCTGCTTCGTGGCGATGTGCGCCACGCTGGAAGTAGGCCCGACGCCCAACGTGATGATCCTCTTCTGTATCGTGGAGGGCGTGTTCTACATGGCTCAGTGGGAGGAGTACCACACGGGCACGCTCAACTGGTCCAACGGTTACATGGGCGTAACGGAGTCGCAGGTCATCCAGATGGGGCTCTTCGTGGTCTCGGCCTTCTTTGGTGAGCGATGTGACGGCGTGTGCTACTGTGCAACTGCTGGTGTTGCTGCTGATGCCGCCGCCGCTGATGTTTTGGCTGGTTTGCTGTTAAATGTAAGAGGGGTGAACCTTGTCACTTGCCGCTGATATCCAGCCTTCACGGCTTCTGCGGGAAGCTGCCTACGGGCGTTCCGAGATTGGGTAAGGTCATGGTGTAGCTGATGATCATGAAAGCTCAACAACGTATGTACGCGTACGCGGTTGTGTACGTGTTCGCCCCCTCCTCCAAGCGCTGAGGCTCCTGTGGCCTCACCCCCCCCCCTCCGCCCTTCCCGCTTTTTGGCAGGGCAAGACATTTGGTCGACAGCCGTAACACTGCCAGGAACGGACTTGAGGGTGAGTGTGCTGCAGGCCATGGTGTGGGCGCTCATTCCTCCGGCTATAGCGATGGTTTCCTCCAACATCCGGAGGGTCTGGGCCAGTCGCCCGGAGGATCTGCCCGAGGAGGAGAGGGGACTCAAAACGGTGAGAACGGTCGGGGTAAGAATATCGGCGGCCCCACGAGGGGCTACAGAGGGGTACGTGTTTGCAGTGAATGGAGCTCTCATTTTAATATCCGAATAGTTTTCGCTGTTTTTTTTTTTCCGTTGTGGTATCGACGAGCTCGTAGGGAGGTGAGCTTGTAGGGGGGGGAAGGGAGGGAGTTGAAGACAATGGGATCGGAAGTCGCGAGCATGTGTGGAGAAGGAGTCGGGGGAGGTTAGCAAAGTGACGTCATATTAGGTCTGTTGACAGTCTAGTAACTCGTAGCCGAACACGGCGCAAGATACAGGGTGGGGCTCCGTGTAAGGGGTACTGCTGTAAGGGTACCGGTAGATGTCGAGGCCGCCAGGGCGGGAAGAAGGGCGAGAGGAATCCGAAGTCTTGTTGAATCAAGTTTGTTCTGTTGACGGGCGTGCGTCTACCAGCACCCGTTGTGTACTCCGACTGATCGAAGTGCTAGCCCCGGCCGTGGTTTTCCTAGCGAGTTGCTCGGATTTTGGCGGACATTCTCCTACTTTTCTCAGCGAGTTGCTCGGCGTGTGGAGGACACACTCTTACCAGTCTCCTTATCCCCCGCGTCCGCCCCGTGTTAGATCGGAGTGTACCCGGGAGTGCTGCAGCTGCTGGCCATGTCGGCGGCGATGGGTCTAGGCGTTGCGCTCTCCATGGGGCCCGCCTTGCCGGTGTTCGTGAAGCACACGGGGCTGCAGCTATTCATGCTCGGGACGGTCACTACGCATCTCACGGTGAGAGAGAGTGGAGGCAACGACTCTTGGTCTACATCGGCTGCCGTCGCTGTTTCGCCTTCTACCAGTCTTCGCGCGAATGACCGCCTTTCTGTGCTTTCGTTTGTGTTTCCAGCAATGTAGGCAGAGGCTCAAGGGGAAGCCCCCCCCCCCCCCTCCCGCGGGCCCACAATGACGACAAGTGGGCAGGCACATACCTAGCCGATTAGCTTGAAGGCTACCCGAGACAAAATGATCCCACTCTGCACAAAGCGCTCCCAACATCGGGTGCATCCTCTGCATCCTCTAACCGCTATCGCTCTACCTTTTTTTTCATGACCGCTAGCCCTTCCCGCCGCGTCTCCGGATATTCTGACGATCGCAGAGCCAAATGATCGTGCACCACATGGCCAAGTCGGCACTGTCCTTGCAGGACGTGACGTGCCCGTCTCTCCTCGTCCTGGCCGCCGTGACCCTTAACGTCTACTTGCCAACGCTGGGGTAAGGAAGTGTTGTGTGTGATGGTGTGTGTTTGTGTGCGTGCGTTTGTTTCTCTCGACATGGGATGAAACTTGCGTTTGTTTCCCCCGTAGCAACTCCTCGCCTTCCTCCACAAGCCATAATAGGTATTCATCAACAATGGGCAACAGCACTCCGTTTGTGTTCATATTCGGTAGAACACCTATGTTGATTGCAGGCACGCCACCGTGTTATCTGGACACCCCGATGTACATGGGTATCTCGACACGTTTAGACAACAGCATGAGTGGGCATACCGAATTTCGGTAAAACATACCGGGCTTTACACAGACGCGAAAACCGCCCCGTTTTACCAACTTTCCAGCTCAACATCCAACGGCACCTCCCACCTGCCATCGTTGCTTTGTTCTCTCGTTCTTTCGCCACGCAAGCGCGGTGCTGGTACCCATTCGCACACAAGGTCCGAGCACCCCTCCGTCCTTCTACCCTTGGCAACCTGACACTCGTACTCTTGTCTCTTTGTCGCCATGCCAGGCTTGGAAACTCGGTACGGTGCCGATGATGTAGAAAAAAGTCTGAAGCACAACACTACACCCCCTGCAGCCCTCTTCGCCTCCCTATTCTCATGTTCTCATGCCATGTCTACGGTAAACCTCCTAGCTACCAACCCCAAAGCAGGCACTTGGAAGACACACCACCTCCCTGTCACCTACCTCCTCATGCCATGTGTGTAGTACACCTCCTCGAAAACACGGTGCTTGAAAGAAGGCACCCCCCCCCCTCCCCCTCCCCGCCCGACCTCCAATCCATCATGCTCTGTCTCTTGTTGCCCCCCGGACAGGCTCGGCGAGACGTCCCCCATGGACCCAGAGAAGGCCCTGTATCTGGGCTCGGGGATAGCGATGGCGTCCTATCTACGGTATGTGAGCGGGGCTATCTCTGACATCTGCTGGCATCTGGACATCCAGTGCTTCCGCATCAAGCACAGCAGCGGCAACGGCAAGAAAGAGGACTGAGTTATCCCGCCTGAAATGAAACGCCTTCTTCGGAGCTGTTGCTCCGGTGGGATGTGGGTCGGTGTGGAAGAAGCTGAGCCGGCCGCGGCTGCTGTCGTGTTTTGTCCCGAAACTAGATCGGACGGCTAGAACGGCACGTGGTGCGGTTTGTTGCTGGCGCGCGCCCACGGATTCACGGGGAGGACGGGGTAAAGGGAAGCGGCTCCGTTTCCCGGCGCTTCACTGGCTGGACGTCGGCGTATCGAGAGGGCGGACAACGCCAAGCGTCATCCACCGAATAGACCAACGTGCGCATGCTTGTTGGACAACGCCAAGCGTCATCCACCGAATAGACCAACGTGCGCATGATTGTTGGTCGGGTTGAGTCGAGGAGAAATATTTTGGAACTGCACAAAGCTGCGTTGCTTCTGCGGATCGCCGGGCGTTCCTCGGGTGTCACGTGGAAGTTTTTTTTTTTCTGCGGGCGCCCGCTGGGCATGGAAGGCCTTCGCATCGCCCGTGATATACGGCAGCCACGGAGAGTGCGGGGACTAAATTTTGAATGGTCATCGTGGGCCGAACAATGCGCCGTCCGTCGGTGCTTCCATTGGTTCGCTGGAGAACGCTATCGGAAAGCACCCTCTGCTTTTGATTGGCGGTCTGGTACACGGTTTACAGTGCGGGTTTTGAGGGTTTTGGCACCGTGAGTAGCGCGCTGAACGTTTATTTGAAGGGAGTGGGGGAAGAGATGTTTTTTTTTTGGGTCAACTTCAGAGTGAAAATGAGGGTTTGCGCATACGAGGCTGACATGACCTCGACGCATGTGTAAATATGAAGGGCTTGCATTACGTTTTAATCTGTTGGGTGTTTTATTATTGTCAGGCTGGTTGGAGCGTGAGAGTGTGGTGCACCCTTTTGTTTCGTGCCCCGCGCGAGGGAATTTGCCTCAGAGTTGGACGCTTTCCGCCAGATATGTCGCTGTGAAGAGGGGCGTGAACCGCGGCCGCCGTCGACTTCGTTCTTGTGGTGTTGATGAGACTCTGCGCCGACGTTTCGGTTTCTTTGTGGTGCACTCTTTGTGCCCTCTTTTCCCGCGGCAAGGTGGTTGAGCACTAAAAGCATGCGTCGCTATGTGGCTAGGTAATAACACCGTGACTCTTTTCTTGGAACAAGCGGACACACAACACCGGTCACCGTCGTCCTCATGGGGGGCCAGATGGTGTTCTGCCGATGGGTGGGTGTGTGTCCCCATCCACGGGGACTTGGCTCCCCGCGCAGGGTACAAGGTGGTTCTAAACTTGACTCCTGCAGGTAGGACGGAGGATTCGAGACAGGCGTGTAGGTTCCTCCGCCGAGGCTTAAGAGTTTGGGGTGGAGATTTGTGTTCAAGTGTTGGTTTTGTGTTTCCTTGGTGACGGTAAGGCTTGTGGGCCTTGTTCAGGAGTACTGTGGGGCCAAATTCGCTTGATAGTGTGGGATGAATAAGTCCACCGAGAGAGAGAGGGGGGGGGGGGGTATTACCTGTTGTGGAACATGATAAGGGAGCCAGGCGCTGCATTCGCTTGATGCGGCGGTGGAGGTAGGAGGTCATTAGGGGGATGACAGCGACCACAAACTGCTGTTGCCGTCGTCCCTGTCGTCGATGTTGACGATGCCGCTTCTGCTGCTTGCTGCTGCGTCTTTCGAGAGTGGAAAACGAGCTGCTGGCTTGTTTGGGGGCCTGTGGCGTCAGCGCACCACGTTGCCGGTAGCTAGAATGTTACCCATAAGGCGTCTTTCAGTGTCGGGGGGTGTCGATATCATTGCCGACACCCCAGCATCGATACATCGACAAGACATCGATCTGATTTGAGGTTCCATTCCTGAAAACGTGGCCTCTCTCTTTCATCGTCGGCGCGTGCGCAAGCTCCGCGCGCTGTTGTAGCATGCCGGACGTGTTATGTTTTGTGTTGGTGGCTTGTTCAGCCCCAAGCCCAGCCTTGGAGAAATGCGTGTTTTGGGGAAAATCCGCTTGGCGCTTTTTGTTGGCTGCCTGCCTCCTTTCCGCATTGGTATCGGGCAAAACGCGGCGAACAGTGTGAAGAATGACGTTCAAGTTTCGCTTGGTTGTTAACCTCCGCCCTTGAATTCGATCAGGGATGCTGGCACATGGACCGTTTTTGTCAGGGGAAAAAACATCGTGTTGCTGTATAGAAGTAACTACCGGTGGGTCGCTAGAGCTTAGCTTCAACAGTTTACGTACGTCAATGGCCTTATATTTGGACTTGCACCGCTCCATGGAGTAGAGGGATCGCGGTGGTTGAGAGGGTGGAATATGTTTTATTTGCCCTTGTCCCTGGGGAAACTGTTGTGGCGGGATATGAAGTGCTTTATGGAGAGAGTGAGTGTTGTGTTGTTGACGGAGGAAAGTGCCGTTGTTGTGGCACTTGCATCGTCGGCTTTTGTGGGCGCAAGGTATGTTGGTGTGGACCAGACGATCACTACGGAGACCCACTTGGGTTCACCGTGAACAGCGTGTTGTCGGGGAAATGATGCCATGGTATATGCCAATGATGCCATGGTATATGCCATCCTCTCGATGCGGAATTTCTGTTCACGGCGACTTGCCTCATTGTTGTTTTGAGGGGGGGTATGGGATATTCGGTGGGCGGTGGCGGCAAAAGGTTTATTGAAGTGGAGTTAGATCGCGTTATGTACATGACTTTGGACAAACCTTAGCGACATGATGATGGGCGGAACCTCTTACGGAGAGATTTTGTGCCCCTCCGTCAGCGAGGCGTGCACCCTACAGAGTGGCGGAGCGCGGCGGTTTCGACAGCTTTCTGTGCGCCGAAGATTGCACAGCTGTGTGCTATTGGGCTTCCTCGCTCAAGGTTTTGTCTCGCCGTTGCTGGTACGATACAGTAGTAGGGCGGGGCTTCCATCTCGAGACCCGACAGGCGTGCGTACATTGCTTGGTGATCGTCAGCGTATTTTACCCAGTGTGCTGAAGTCTTGCAGCTTCGCGTACCGTAGTTTCATCGTGGTTTTTTCTTGGTGTTTGCATGCTTTCAGCAAACTCCCAAGGAGCTCCAATTCTAATGAAATGACGAGTATTGTTCGGCTAGTCTGCCTGTGGCGCTATCCTCGAAGAACTGCTGCGTCAGCGTGAACGCCACTCTCCCAACGTCGTAGATCTGAGCCGGAAATTTCCTGGAACCGTAGGTGTCCGATTTTTCAGGGTTAGGCGCCGTTTGAGCCGCGTCCTTCGGCGCCAGCCGTTCGAATCCCACGTCTTTTTCATAGTCTTACAGCTAGGATCAGCCTGCCTTGGCGGTGAGCGCCTTCTCGCGGGCAACCTGCTCACCAGCGGTAGTATCAGATTCCAGGGTTTGCGCCAAACTGAATCAAATGCTTTTAGAATCGATCTAGGCCACCGAGCGGATTTTCGTCGTCTGTGCATAGCGACTGGAATGCCAAACACAGGAGATCATTGCCAGATGGTTTAACTATCGTCTTTGATCTTTGACGTCTTCTTGCTTCATAGTGCCGATACTGAAGGCGACCAAACTAGTAGAGTTTCTGCGTCTTGAAATCCCGGCGGCTGGAATGTCAACATCTAACACCTGGCTTGTTGTTGCTGTTGATGATCTTGTTCGATTGACACAATGTTGTTGGGGCTACGCACGACGTGCACGTGGAGGAAGAGATAGGCGGCCCTTTCGAGGGTTCCTTCTCGCAACGCCGATTTTCTTCACGCTCTGCACCCGCGAGACTTTCAAAAACCGAGAGCGAGACATCGCGTCTGCGCCAGCTTCTGCGCTCAGGAACAACACCCTTGCCCCCCAAACATCTCGGCAACTCCCGGCGAGACAATTCCTCTCTCTCTTTTCCATCTCTGGAACGGGGTGATAGTGGTTTGGCCCCCACCACCGCTTTCTACCTCGCCACCGGTTCCACTACCACCACCACCGGCATATCCTCTGCGACCGTCGAGATCGAGCACGAACTGTTCTATACTCCGCTCCTGTTGGTAGCCTTGTGGGCTCTTTTCGCCGGCGCCGGCGCCGGCGCCGTGGAAGTAGTCGTTGGACGCCCAGGCGTCAGTGAACGACCCGTCAGTCGCCGTCGTCCCGTCTGGGCTACCCGCGCCACCCCCCTGCTCGCTGGCGAGAAAGCCAAGGCCACCGCCGAGATGCTGGCTGCTGCAGTTGCCTCCCACCCCTCCCCCCCGGGGCTTGTTCCTGCCGTAGAGATCGCCGGCGTTGCCATGAGGGAGTTTCCCTCGAAGAGCTTGCGTGTCTTTGGCTGGTGCTGTTGCCGGCCGACGACGGCCGCCTCGTTCCCCTATCCGCTTCAAGGGGATGCCGTTTCTTCGTTTCCCTGATGGGCCAAATCCTCCACCACCTCCACGGCTTGAGCTGTTCGCCAGCACCGCGGATGCGACCGCCGTCGCCTCTGCCGCTGCTGCCGACGCCGTCGAGGCAGAGCCCGTCATCGTCAGTGCCGCCTTCGACACCCCGCCTCTTGTGGACGGGCCGATCGCGCCCCTGCTAGCTCTGACAGCCGCGCTAGCTCGCTCCTTCTCTAACCAGAGAGCGCTCTGAAGGACCCCAACCTTTCGGCAGTGGGCAACGATGGGACACAGTTGTGAGAAGTTGACGCGTGTTTCTAGGTGTTTCTGAGACATACGGTGTCTGCGGGGTGGATCCTGCTTTAATTTTTCTGGGAATGTGGCAGTTTCCTGATTTCGAGTCAGCCGATCGGATCACCTGGGTTTGCAGGGCCTCGATGTCCGCTTGTAGCCCCGAAACGAGCGTCATGGCCTGCTTTTCCTTGATCTTTGCCTCCATCGAGGTAACCATCGATTGGTCGCACTCCTGTGGGGCGCATGGACCAAAAGAACGAACGGATAGCATGTCGGGAAACACCTACCGTTGTGCCGGTGACGCCATGATGTCGCTACAATTGTACTTATAGTGCACAAAAATGAATTCCTCGGAGTGTTGCGAAACAGTGCCTTCCTGTTTGGTTGGTCGACAAATACTTTGTCTTAGTTATCCTGGTAGCGTTCGGCCCAAATTGCTTTCGCGAATGTGGCATATATAGCCCTAACGCAAAGAAATGCACTCATGGATCCTGTGGGACTTGATTTGACGGGGTGCTCAGCACACATTGGTCCTTACACATACAAATCTTATCTTGCTTTTGCCCCAGCAGAATGATCTACAGTAGGCCGCAGGCATGCGTTCATGACTCCTCCCCCCAGCTAATCCTCCTCCCAGCAATTATAGTGAGTGAGTACCTTTCGCAGCAGAGCCATGGTCCTTTCGTCCTCTGCGCGCACGCTCATCACCGTGTGTAGTTTGTTGCCTTTCCAACGGCAACCAGCGAAATTTGACATGCACGACAACATGTAGACGAGGCGAGAGGGCTCGGAGATCAACATGCACGACCAGTTATCGTGTGAGCGAATATTCCCCTGCCAATCTTCACAGCGGAGGGCGCGAAGGTACGGCAAGACGTACACTACGATTTTCCGGTGCAGCGTGACGATCGTCATGGCCAAAACCACCAACTAACAAAAAAAAAAACAGGCCCGCCACCAAGCAGCACCACCGAACACTACCAACGGCATGTGAAGCAGCAACAACAACGAACAAAAAAATTACGATGTAGCCTGTGCATATCGAACTCGTTGTGGGGTAGACCTCACCTGGAATATCGTCAATGCCATTCATTTCTCACGTGAGGCTGGGGGTCATGTGGTTAGGCACTCACCGCTGGCGACAAGCTCGGACTTTAGCTGATTGCACTGTAGACCGCCGCGAAGATTACGACAGCGCCAAACGGAACGAAGGGACTCGTTCTCAGGCCAGAGGTTCAAGCAGGGGGGGGGGTAAAAGGTGAGCCGTGCTACTGTAAGCGGTAGGTATTCTATTTCTCCAACCCACCGACCGGCTAAAAACCTTCCTCGCATGCACATGGTTGAACACAGGCATCGTGCATACCAGATGAAGCATTGCCGTAAAACTGAGAACCACAACGTATTTCCTTCAAGGATGCACGGCAAGACCGTTGTGAACGTACTGCGTGGACTGTACCAGCGCTGCTTATTTTCTTACGCCACGGGTGGCATGCATCGCAATTTGTCCTTTGCCCATTGGATTCTTACGGGGGTTGTTACTGCAGCGCAGTTGGCACTGTGTGAGAGTGTCATCTCACTAAGATTGTCAGGGTGGTGTACTGCGAAGATACACAAATGGACCAAACAACAACAGCAACCATGCACCAACAGCAGAACGATGAACATTAAAAAAAACATGTACATATGGCCAAACCGCGATTCCACTCACTTGGGCAACGAGGACCCGCTCCAATTGCTTGGACTCCTGCAGCGATTCCTCTATTCTACGAAACTGTTGCAACGCAAAACCAAGTCGGGGTGGGGGTTGAACGCACACTCTACCTTGGTTACAACAAGGTCGTCTTGAAATATCAGACTGAATATCTGCAGTACTACCGTAATGCAATATCGTACGTAGATTACACATTCAATGCATCATAGACTAGTCTAGTCTACAGTTCGTGCCAGTGAACAATCTGACAACATCAGATGGGTACCTCTTCGACGAATGCAGCCCAATTCCTGTAGCCGTCGGAGAGCTTGAACGATTGGTCCATGCTATGCCGCACAACCCCCCTCACGTGTCCACACCTTCAAGACTGCTTGGGGCAGAACCGTAGCGACATGTACAGAATTTCAGGAATGTTTGAGAGGGGATACTGTAGACAAAGCACGGAAAAAGCGTTGTGTGCCAAGCACGGAAGTCGAGCCGGAATGAAACCGTCTCAGACAGGAACATGCGGCGGGACCGAAAAAGAAAACTACTGCTGTATGTACACCGTCCGCGCAGCACGCAGATCCGCTGCCAGGCAACTAATCAAAGCCATGAATGTTGCCAAAAAGGCGAACGAGCTCCCTCCTGTGTCAGACCTTGGCAACAGTCGGGAGGAAGTCGATGTTCTAGTAAAGGTCGATGAAAGAGTCAACATTCACCCTGTGGAGTCGGCACAGTCACCAACAAGCTTCGCCAGCAACAGCCCGAACGGCAAGACCACCGGCACAGTAGGCCTACGAGCATGGCTTGCGGCCAGCAAGGTTAGTGTTGCACTTCATGTTCGAGACACGCACAATATTGTACGTATAGTTAGCTATATCTCTCGTTTCGACGAACTTTGCTTCGAGCAATCACACGTCACTGATGCCACTGCTGCTTTGGTTTTCCCCCCTCCCACGACCCAATGTACTGACACAGGCCGCCCTCGCAGCGTCGCAAGCCGACCAGCGCGAGACCCAGAGACGAATTTCACGGCTGCAGGAGGCCACCAATGACCTCAACATCATCGACTTTGCCAGCCACGCCGAGAGCAAAGCCGGTTGCAGTGAAAGCGGCGGTGGCGATGGTGATGATCGTGCGGGACACCAAGCGCGATCCCCCAAGGACAAGTCTTGTAGCGGCGAGGAATCCACTGGAAGCGTGCGCCATCTTCGTCAGCTACACTGTATGCCAATGGTGGGTGAACACCATGCATGCATGATGCAGTACTGCCCATCCATACTGGTTGTTGTCTCCAAGCAGCAATAGTAACCCCCCGTGGGCAATGTCTCCATCTTGATTGAAGTAGTATATTACGTATGAGAGCAATCATATTGCCCCCACCGCGCAACGACTACACCGGTCAGTTTGTCGCTCAATGCGTCAGTTTCAAAATATCTAGTGTGTCTATTCCCGATTCGTGGCGTTCGACCCGTCTGCATGCAGGGCGTCATCGGCGGCGTTGTATCGTTTTTGGAGCCTCGTTCCATCCTTAGCTATGGCTTGGTCTGCAAGGTCGTGGACGATGTACTTCGGCAGGTCAGTCCGTCCATATGAGGGTGGTACCGTAGATGTGCTACTTCGCAAAGACCGATGCTTGATTCGCAAAGTCGACTTCAAGTGGCACGCAATTCAGCTGTAGGAGCAATGAAGAGATCCAGAGAAATCATTACTTGTAGGTCTCCGTTCATTGGGCAGAAAGGGGCCTCGGTATTGTCCAGACCGGCAAGGCCTGAGGTCAAAACATGCAGACCTCTGCTCAATATCATGCCTATCATCGAGGAATGTCGCGCATGACGATAAATAGTACATCATCCGGCTTATGCTTCACACGGCCCTGAGACCTGCCTTACAGCTCCTCTTGCTCACATGTTCCTGTGCCTGCCGCCGCTTTCATGCAAGGATGAATGCTGGGGAGGTATTTTTCGCGTGTTACATCTGCAATCGGATGTCATCGGCGTCCCTCACGGCAGCCTTGGTGGAGCAGAGCACCACCGGGCGTCGCAAAATGAAGAAATAAAGGCGCCGATGCGGACAGCGGTGATCGCACGAGGGCGCTCGCTGTCTTTGGCCCTGCGATTGTTCGACGCGGTCGTGTTAGATGGCGGTGTTTCTAAGGCGGTCATCAATGGACCGGTGAGGAGATATAGGAACACTGTTGCAAGAGACTATATAGTCTAATGTCCTAAGGTGCTGAATGTGGAACGACAAATGTTTTATCAAGCGGCCAACCTCGAAGACGTCGCGTCACCCGCCTGACGAGCATACGCACTTGCTGGTATGTCCTCTCACCTAAGTGGAGCAAGTTTCGCAGGAACGCCTTCCTTGGACTGTTAGGAAAATGGTGCGCTGTCACGAGAAGAGGGGAAATCGACCTTCTTTTTCCGTACGCCAGCCGGCAGCCAAGTCGCGTCCACAACACCGTTACCTCATTGGTCTAGCTAGGGTTGACATTAATCATGGGCGGAAACCAAGACTTTAGTGTGAATTTGTGAAAGCCCAAAGCTTTGCCCATGCCATCATGACAACAGTGGTTGGGTCTTCCGTCGTGGCTTGATGATTTCTCCGGCCCAATTTGCAATACGAAGACGGTTTATCAATCTACCTCTGGATGGCCTGGTTCAAAAGTGTCTCGTCCTTTGCCGTGACTGTGGTCAGGTTCATACCGCCGCCGCAGTGGCTTCGCTTCGGGGTCTCGTAGAGATCACAGCCAATGTCTTTGACACGGTTGGCCGGCTTGCCTTTTCGGACGCTCGGACGGGACAGGTGCTTCTCAGCATCATCGCTCGCGAGCATGGCAACGCCATGTTGCAGGTGAGCAATCCCATGTTTCCTTTCGATGCTCGAGACTTGTGTGCCACACGCGCAACTGAATTGTCTTTCTTTCCTGCTGTCGCGCCATCATGTTGTCGTTGAGAATGCCGCCGCCTACCTCCCCCGTTCAAGACCTCGTCACCGAACCCGACATGCACGTGGGCATACCCGCCATTCGTATCCCTTCGGTCCTACGATCTTCTACGTTGTCCAACCCACCCCGTGCCTGTTCAAACTATTCCCAAACTTCGTCTATCTGACCGAGTCCTATGCGTGGACGATCCTATCCTTGCTCCAAAGTCTTCACATTCCCCACAAGGCAGAAAGCGCCTACACGGTCGTCGTGCGTGTTCATTTCTTGGCGGAACTTGGCACTCAAATACCAATTAACGTTTCCCGCCCTCGTCGGTGCCCTTTCAGGACCTGGCCTGTGCAGCCTTGGCAAACCTCTTCTGCGAGCCAGAGGGATCAGGTTCAGCCGAGCAACCGCTTGCGCTTGACATGCCTTGCGGCAGCGCAGCGGCCAAGATGCTGGTGAGTTATTGCAGAGCCCATGTTGTTTGGGGTTCGTCCGCCCCTTCATTTGGCACGGTACAACCAGGGAAGTATTGGGGCATCGGGAGGAGTAACCATCCGTTTTGGGCACGTTAAGAGTGTCCTGCCTCTCCCACGTCGTCTTTCGCTTCCACAACAACAATGCGATCATTCGAAAAACCGAAACATCGACGACCCTAGGAACTTCTTAAGGCACCTGAGGATCTCTAATTCTCTCATACAAGTCTCGCGCGTTCTCGCGTGACGGACGGTGGAGACCACAGGGAAGGAACAAAGGGCCTGCGGTTCAGGCGCTGACCGCTCTTTGCTCAAGCACCCGCCCTTCGCCCTCCTCTTGGTCCGCGCCAAAGGTACGAACCAGTGACCATTGTCACTGACATGATGCCTGTTCCGTTCGTCATTTCACGTGCGTGTCGTAGAACGCCCGCCTCCAGCTCCCCCCCGCCCTCCCTCCCCGTGACCGTAAGCATTTGACTAAAGTATTGAGCTACCTCAGAGATTCTCCGTGTATAGACGCATACCTGCCTACCTCGTCCCTAAGGATATCCCTCGAGCCTCTGAGAGGGCGTTGTTCTTTAGCGGGAACCTATTCTTGCTATGTGTGCGTGTTCTCTTAGATCTTCTGATGTTTCTAGCATTTTTGTGACCACGGACCGAGTCTTTGCTAGATTTTGGGATTAGCAACTGACATACGAGGTTTAGGTGAAGACAAGAACAACAACAACAACAACATCAACAATAACAAGAACGGGGTTGCTTGTGTCGTCTTGAGAGATTGATTCCCAATCGCTGACCACGGCCGTCTCCTACGGTCCCCCGTGTCGGCAACCCCCGATTCGTGGCTCGCGAGGGTTAGCTGTTTTTCCCTGTCGTTTGTTGTCTTCCCTTCCCAGTGACCTCTTGCAAAACCGTTGCACTCGTCACTAATAGCGCACGCCATCGCGATGTAGTCCTTTTCGTGTCAGGCATAGTATCGCAAAGAACGATTCCTTGCCCCAAAGCCCCACACACCGTCTGCAATCAGTAGGTGCATTCACCGCTGGCTTTGTGGTCTGTCATCCGAGGGGGGAAACGCTTGGCTACCGGCGACAGAATGCAGCGTGGCAGGGGGGGATCGTGGGCGGGCAGTTCTCGATGACGGATGTTTTGCACCAAGTTGCTCTTTTCTGCGCTAAATCCCCTCCCCCCCGATAGCTGTACGGCGCTTCACGCATGGTGATGTGAAAGCCTGTTCCGGTGAGAACCCGGCGTGCCCCGTCCCGGCTTTGTAGGGTCAATGGTCTAACGAAAACGGCATGCACGACTATACGCCCCACCCCACCCCGGTATAATTGCTGTACTGGTGCATACGAAGTGGGTTGAAAAGGCGGGAAGGGATATCGACAGGAAGTTTTGAGCCACCTTTGGCAAAGTAGGAAGGAACGATTGGCCATCGGTGATCGGTCAAGTGGGAACAATGCTCCGTCCTCTCGAGGACGCGTGGTCAATGGTGTAACGGCCAAGGCATGCAAAACATATGAGTACGCCCCCCCCCCCCCCTTTCCCCTACGCTGGGAGGGGCATCCCCAACCCACAGAACCTCAACCCCTCCCCCTGTTTTTCCCTTCCCACTTCTATTGGGACCTATTGTGCCCCGCTACAGGTGGGCGGGGGCGGGATGCGGCCGGTGGAAAACCTCCCCGGCCGGCAGGCATCGCGGGCTCTTATCAACCTTCTGCTGCCAAAGTGCCAGGTCTTGCAGCAGGGGACTCTGCGTGGGGGTGGGTTTGGGGCCGATTACGGTTGCTCGAACGACAGGAGACACTCGTTACCGTCAATAGTCCCGCAAAATGCGGCCTCCGCGGGACAATCTTCCGGCCCGCAAACTGCGACCTCCGCGGGACAATCTTCCGGCCCGCAAACTGCGACCTCCGCGGGACAGTCTTCCGGCACGGCTGCGGGGTTTTCCACAAAGTGTGGAAGTTGTTCCCGACGGACCAGTGCGCCGGCAGCGGCGCCGGTAGTGGCATGGCAAGAAGAAACCAAGGATGGAATGGTAGCAGTGTCGGGTCGCAGCATAGCTACCTCAACAAGAGGAGAAGAGACCCCGTCATATTTTAAGCATGCACGAGCACCTGACGAGCGTCCGGTGGGTGTGGATGCCGAGAGCGGAGGACCCGTGCACCTGCCCATTATCGGGGGCCTTGAGGATCACGATGCCGAACCCGTACTGTCTAAAAGCGTTTCCACGCAAGGTCCAGGAGCGATGAGGACAGCAGGCACGCCGGTCAGGCAACAGGCGACAGCCTCTCCGACCACCGCCGATGCGGCAGCACCAAGGCTAGATGAGAAAGCTAAAGCTGGAGGACTAGCCTCCTCGACACCGAAAGCCCCACAAGAAACCCCAACAACGCCCCTTTCGATACCCCCAGCAGCAGCACTCGAACTCGGGGCGGCGAGCGCCAGCAGGTTTCCAGAAACACAGAGGCGTTACGAAACCACCGAGGCCGTCCAAACCAAGACCGCCGACGACGGTTGCCGCGATGCTCGAGGGTCCACGGGACCGGAACCACCTCCAGCTCCCGTTAGCCCGTGCAACACGTGTTTGGCGCTACCCCGTCGAGAGCAGCGGCCGGAGGAAGAAGTCTGGGAGGCTTTTTATTTTTACCAACGAGGAGGAATAAAGGTGGGAGGACGGAGTTTCGTTGTCTCGACAATCGAGATAGGCTCTCTCCATCCACCAAATGATCAGATCGTCGCATCCCGCCGTTGTATTAGTAGATCGTATGGTCACCCCTGCAGTCCGTGTGATGCTGCCGTGTGCAGGAGGTTGGTTTCGAGGGTGTCTGCCTGGTGATACATGGAAACAGACACAACCCCCATGGTCTCCATCGAAACCTTCTGATTGTATCGTTCAGGTGGACAAAACAACATGCCGTTGATACGCTCAACGATTTTGCGATGTTCGCCCCCTCCCGCAGGACAACTTCAATGTCAGGCTAAGGACTTTCAGGGCCCCTGGGGGAGGTTTTTCCGGTCATGGTGTCGACAAACTCGGACATTTTGTCATGGAAGGCAGCCCACTCCTCGATCGCGGGGCAGGCGAGACCTGGTGGGTGTGGTTTTGTGTCGTCCCGTGGGTTGTCCTCAACATTGTGGGCACCTGGTTGCCATACGATAAATTTAAAAGGTATAGCTCGGCGTCCACATTAGATCGGGGACAAACAAACAAAACACACAAGGACTATTTTCAGAGAATCAGTGGCGTGAAAGACAAGGCGTCATCAACAAGAGAACAACGCCGCCAAGAGCTAGACCTGTCCGGTTTTACTAGCATCCGTACCCCACGTCCAAACACCACACTCCCGTTTTCGAAACCGGCTTCTTTCGAGAAGGGTGGTGCTCTCGTGTTGCCTCAAAGCGTCTTTAGAAGGGCGCTAGGAGGCCGGGCAGCTACCGAGAGTCGTCATCTGTGATGGGATCAGTCGCGTTCGTAGCCCGTTAGTCGTGCCGCCTTTCTAGCCGAGGTGGAACACCTCGCAGTGTGGGAGTCGACGCTTCCAAAGTGCACTCGACGACTCCTTCCTGCTTGAAAGGAATCGCCCCGTTGGCCGCCCGACAGACTGCCTGCCTCGGAGACCAACAAACTTCGGCAGCACGGCTGCTTGACACTTGCTTCGCCTTCACCCTCTCGTTTCAGGTTCATATCCAAGACCTACACCGGAAGAGGTCTGCCCCAAGGCACCACCGACCGTGTCAGTGCCAGCACCAGTGTTGCCGGCCACGGTCCCGGTAGAAGCGCTCACGTTACACACATGGCATACCTAACCGACGATCTCTCCAACGGCAAGCACGGGGTCGGCAACAAGGGTAGCACGTCCTGGTTTGCCGAGGATGCGCCGGCGGCCACTGGTGTTGCAACGGGCGACGATGCTCCTCCCGAGACTGACGCCAGCCATTTTGTGACGAGAGCTTCTCCTCTAGCGGAACTAGCTCTGGCCGCGACGTCCAGACACGGAAACCCGCCAGCTGCGAACGTGGCACACGCACGCCGACACTCCGGGTTTTGGGGGGTATGGGAACCGGTGCTCGGTCTAGCCGGCGATGTCGGCGGGGTATCGACGGCCCACGGACTGCCGAGCAGATGGCGAACTACGTTGAGTAGGAGGGGCGGTGTGTTCCGACTGGTGCCTTCTCGTGGAACGCCATGAGACTGGTCCCGACGGCGCAACAACTAGAGAAAGCGTGGACCCGACTTGGTTTAGTACAAAATACCCTTCGCTGTTTTAACATGAGTGTAGAAACTCAATGTCACATCTGCATGATTACGCGCCATAGAAAAACAATGATTGATGCCGTAAAAGTACATGTACTCACGAGCCCGTTTGGCTCGGATCCCGAAATAGTGGGCATGAAGCGATTTCCCCGTCGGATGGAATTACCGCGGGATTACCCTGACAGGGTGATCCGCACACACACACGGTTCCTCTGTTATTGTGACCGGATCTGTCTTTAATACAGAGAGTAGCATAGCCTCCCCCATACCGCCCCTCACGGGGTCCCAGATCATGGCATTTAGAACCATTTTGGGTTTTCGACCGCACTAAGACTGACGTCTTTTCATTGGCCGGCCGGTTAGCGCGGTCGATGGTAAGAATACACGCACACACCATGTTTGACCCCAGTGGTCTTTCGGAATAGTTCATTATGCGAGCCCGTGTACAGGACGCCGTGCAGATCGCCCCTCACGCAACGTCCTTCACACTCCAAAACAACTCTCCTTTTTGATCATACCAGTTCTTCCAGCGTCTATTGTCGCGGCTACCCTCTGAATGTTTTCCCTTTTAGGCACCGTGACGTTTGTGAGTGAGTGTGTGTGCAAGCTTGTTTCGAGTTTCGTTTTTCGCTTTTCTAAACTCCTAGAAAACTCCCACGTGCTCCCGGTGCATCCATGGTCTCTGGTCTTACAGGTTTACTCGAACATCTTTTTTAAGCACTTCCGTCTCAATTGGTAATCACCCTTCATTGCCAAGAGTGTATCGTCTAAGCTCATACATGAGACTTTTTGGCGGTGGTTACATTGTCACCTCCCGAGAAAACTCCTCGTTGTCAAAACCTCATGCTTCATATTTCTCCTAGGCGCAGTCACTGACGCGTGGATATTGCCATTCGCTGCGTCGCTGACGAGTCAGCCATGTATCGTCGTTGTTCGGTTAATCCTTTTGCTTGAATCTGGCGGTGAATCTGGAGGGGGTCGTGCTTGATTGACCACGTCGTCAATAGACAAAAATCCGGGGCGTAGACTACTGTCCACGAAGAGAGACGCTCATAGTCTACATCATAGTCGACCATCTTCGATGTACTCGTGGTGTCTCTCCGGCCTACATCGCTTGCGATCATTTGTCCTTTGTCTGCCCTGTCGCCTGCGACGCCTGAATTCGTGAAGCCTTCCCATCTGCACTTTAACCCTTTAACCCTAACTTTCATTGCGAGCATAGACTAATGCCGCAAATTATCACGCACAGTAAATAAATCGCTTTCTTCCTGCTTACCATCATACTTCGAAGTAAAACTATTATAATTCTACTGTACATACAACCAGCCGCGGTCGCCCCGGTGGTCTAGTGCAGTGGTAACCTCGAAACCGCTAGTCGTAAATTGGTCGTGAGTTCGAACCCCCATAAATGAGCGAGCACGGGGTGAAACATATTAATTAATAATATGCAAAATTTGAGGGTGAAGAAAGCGAAGCTTGCTGAAAAAAGCTCTGTGGAGAACCAAATGTTTGGGGTGTCGGCGCGTGTACTATGTTATCATCACACTCGCGGGCTCTTGTCGAGAGCGTGTTGCACAAAGGAGTGACTCAAGTTCCTTGATTATTAGAGAGAGAGTTTAACGAGTGACAGACGTGAGCAAGAAGAGGCAAAGCCTGCTGCACCAAGTCTGTCTATCATACATACCGGGTCACCCATATCTATGTCATCTGCGTAACCCCCTCGGAGATCTCGGAGAAATGTATCCTGCCGAGTACACACACAAACAGCCCCCCTACTCGGTACGAGATACGATCTACGAGATCCTCCGTACATATCGCCAGGTAAAACGGCAACAAATCTGAAAACCATTCATCTTTCGTATCCACAAAAAGATCATCTCAATTCCCGGATCTATCTATCGAATATTCAAGTTCAAATTTCAGGTTACTACCCCTCCTTATGACTATGGAACTTCACTAAGAGTCTTAGCAAGTACTCTCGAGAAAATGTCATCACCATATTCTCAAGCAGTCAAAAGCAAAGAATTATCCTTGGAAGAATACTCAGCAAAGATCAACATTACATCAGAGCCACGTCATAAAGACTCTGGACGGACAACTCTGTCTGGCAAAACGCGTCAGTCAACAAATACCTCGAACAAAATCCTCGCACAAAACTGTGTTTCAACTCATTGACCAATTACCAATTACAACTTGAAATAAGCTTCGGAAGCACATAGATAGATAGGCCTCAACCATGTCTTACCAAAATATGTCAAAATCGTGTTTGGGGCGTCGGCGCGTGTACTATGTTATCACGCTCGCGGGCTCTTGTCGAGAGCGTGTTGCACAAAGAAAGAAAGGAGGAGTGACTCAAGTTCCTTTATTATTATTAGAGAGAGAGTTTAACGAGTGACAGACGTGAACAAGAAGAGGCAAAGCCTGCTGCACCAAGTCTGTCTATCATACCCATATCTATATCATCTGCGTAACCCCCTCGGAGATCTCGGAGAATTGTATCCTGCCGAGTACACACACAAACACCAAACTTGGACGTTAGCACCGTTGACGAGAGAAAGGGGCGGCTGGACCCTTCCCGCGATACAAAAAAATAAAATTCAGCTCGCACCGTAGGAGGAAAGGAACGTGGGGCCAAGACGAAAATAAAATAGAATAAAGAAGAAAAGTACTCCTCCTGTAGTTTTAATTAAGGAATAATAAAAACACACACAGAAAGACTACAATTAATTACCCAATTCGAGATATACCAGTTTGTTGTACGAAAAAATACACTGAACAGTGTACACAGTACTCTACATACATACATACACACAATGAAACACGTGCAGTACACGTCTCACCACGAAAATGAGGGGACTGTCACCATACATCGTAATAGGACGATGATAGTAACAAAAACACATCGATTGATTGATTGTAGTAAATAAAACCAACGACGGTACTGCGTTGCTGTAGATTCCCCGTCGTCCTTGTTTGTTCTTTCGGTCGGGTGTTTTGTGTTCATTCGGATCAATTAGCGATAAAGTGCGTGCTGAGGAGGAGAAGGGGGTACGGGGGTACGGGACGTAGAGGGTTGAACTGATGAACTGATCCAACTTCCGGTCGGTCCGGCACGCTGGTTTTCACGAAGCCGGAGACCTATATCGTAGCGAGGCAGGAGGGTTGGACGTGGACGTTGGAGGGAGATGGTGGTGGTGTTGGCGCCGCACATCCGGGTGCGGGCAGGTACCGCACGCTTATTCCTAGCGTCGGACCCCCCGCCATTGTTTTTGTTGCAAGCGAGTAGCAACACCAGCAGTAGCGGGAACTGGGTGCCACTCCACGCCCTGTATTCGCAGATTCTACCTGCCTAACTTGCTGTTACGTTGTCCTTGTAAGACGAACCTCATCCCGTGGGTCTACGTTTGAGAGCGGAGGGCAAAAATGCGGCGGAAAGGAACATCAGGTTCCCTGGGGCCGGCGGCCGAGCCCGGGGGACGGCTACTCGACCGGGCGCCCTCAGCACCCTCTGTTATGAAGCTAGGTGTCGCGTTGACTATGGTTTGGGCCCTGTACGCTACGCTTCTGCTCGCGGTAAGCGGGCGCGAGCGCTCGGAACCCGTACGGCCAGCGTTGCAACCAACAAGTGATCTGACAACAATGCACGCTGCCGGCCATGCGGAGGATCCAAAGCCCCCAAAGCCTCACCCGCTTCGAAATAGCTTCCGACAGCTGAACATGATGGGGTTCGAGGAGGGCAACGGGCAGGCGGGGGAGTGGATAACGTGCAGAGAGTACAAGGAGGCCGAACTGGGTCCTGACAAAAAGGTATAGTTATGTGTGTCGTGTGTTTATGTGCTTTCGTGTCATGGTAGAAGGCAATGTACACTGGCGTGTATGTGTCGCAAGATATCACACCCCCTGGACCGCTTTTCGAAGCTCGATATATCGGCAGGAAAAACAGTTACAGTGCCGAAAATGGCGGCGTTGGAACCGTCTCGTCGAGAGCTCTCCGAAAACGTATACTTCGATTTCGGCATGCTCTTTGTCGTGGAGTAATCGAGCTTTGAAAATTGGTCGAGGGGGGGTGATATCTTACGCAACCTACCGTACCGGCATACGTCTTTTTACGACACAGGCTAGACTAGCCCATTAGACCGCCTAGTCAGCGCTGCTGGCTACGTTGGTCCCGGGATAGCCCATCTAATCAAATAATACGTTTTCGCGCAGCGCGCACACTTAGAGAGGAATAGCCAGGTACAGGCGACGCAGTTGAACGGCTGCTGCTCAGCTGTCGCTGCAGGAAAGCGCAGCAGCTGCACCCCGGCAGAAAGATGATCATACAGCAGTACCGCCTCAGACTCCTCGCCTCTTGGGTGTGTCGACGATGATCTGGTTCATGGTCCTCCAAGTTTTTTTTTTCTCTTGTTTGTTGCCGACCTGATTCCTCACTGCTCTGTCGCGACTACAGCCTACCACCCTCGAAAGAAGAGCCTTGGTTACACATTGATAGTAACTCTTTAGGACTAACCGATGTTGAACGTAGCAAGGCTAGATTCTTCACGCGAGCAAGGCTAGGTTGCTCACCCCACATCTACCCTAACCCCAGCCCTAACCCTAACCCTAACCCTCACCCACGGCCAAAGCACGGCCTAGCGGCAGCGAACTGGGCGGCACGCGGCTGCGCCGCGTGCTCGGAATGCGGAACGGGGAGAGGGCGCTGGAGAGGAATCGACCTCCAGAACCAACGCCGAACAACGCCCGACCAATCAGAACGCGTTAGTCCTAAAGATCTACTATCAATGTGTAAACACTACTCCGAAAGAATACACCTCGCGACAGATGGCAGTCGGTCCCGCGCTTGAGAGAAGGGAAACGGAAACGTGTAGGCGGGAAACAAGCGCTGGAAGGACGCAACTCGGCCGGAAGGGTACATAGCCGGCCGGCTGTTGCGCAGCCGTCACACTATAGGGAAGCGCCACGGGTTCCTCTCCTCTTTGCGACGTCTGGCCAATGCTGCCTTGGTTCCTTATTCTTTCGATGGCTTTGTTCCGCACTGCCGCGACTACAGTTCGCCACCGTGATGCACGAAGGCGTCGTGAGCTATGAATACTGTAGGATTGCACCGAGGTAGGCAGGTAGGTAGGTGTTGGTGGCGTCCTTGTCACCAAGTAATTTCGATTGTGGCCTTGGACGCTCTCAAGGATATCGTGGTGCTTACCACAAGATGTGGGTGGGCTTGTGGCCCGCGAGTTTCTCCGCGTCTTCGAGAGTTCGGATGTTGTGATGCATGAAAGGTTGCCACGGAGTACCTGTTTTTGCGTTGTTCCTGTAAGGACAGCAGCACAATATTAGCGGCCGGAGCCTGCTCTCCTCGCGCAAAGAAAACAAGAAGGTTTTGAAGCCCTGGAGTTTGGGAGGAGACTCACATGCCTCGTCTCTGAAGGTGGAGAAACCCCAAGGGTGACTGGCACGTCGCCTTCTTGGGACAAATATACCTAGCTGCATAAGGCAGGAGGAGCTTCACGGCCTCCATATGGCAAGGGCCCTTGTGCATCTGTGGTTTTGCGCCAGATGTACTCCCCACCCTCACTTTTTTTTTTTTCAGTTCACCGTATTATCTACGTACAGCACACTTGGTTTATATCGCTCCAAACAGCATCCCCTTGTCGTCGCCCCTCCTTTTCGTAGGCGTGGGGTCGCAGAACCGTGCGTCACGAGTAACCTAGCCTCGTGTACCCCACTGGGTAAGAACGGCAGCCGGCCGGCGTGTGCAATTGGTGTCACCGTCGCCTTTACACCGATGTTGTACAGTATTCCATGCTAGTGTTGAAGCCGTCTTTCTTGATGCACTTCCTTATGCGTTTGTCAGCAAAGGTATCTCAGGGAGTATCGTGGTCTCTTGGTGGGTTTGTGTTGTTAGGAGTGCTGCTGGGTTTGTGGCGCGCGTCACTGCAACAACAACCAACAACAAAAATCAGCGGCCGAAACTCGCGTCACTTTTTTATTTCCTCCTCGTTTGCTGTGGTTGTTGTTTATTTTCCTTGCCGTCGACTTGCACCGCAGCAAGACAAACCTGGTTTCGACAAGTTCCTGCAACCTGTCGCCCCAAGGCCCGAGGCTGGGTGGGAGCTTGAGATGAGCGAGAGCCAGGACGCGGAGTGGCTGGGACTTCACAGCTTCGACGACAGGTCCGCCTGCGCTGCTGCTGCAAGTGCCTCTGTGTCGCGGAGTAGAGAAACAGTAATAGTGGGCGGGATTAAAGGTCCGCTGCTCCTTGCTTCGAGGCGGTTGCAGTTGTTGTTTCTTTGTGTATCTTGCCCATCGTCTCTCTGCACGAAGTACCGTAGGTTGCAATAGGTATGACACCTCCTGGACCGGTCTCTGAAGCTGGATATCTCGAAAAGCGGCGACGGTGCCGAAAAATGTCGGCGTTGGAACCGTCTCGTCGAGAACTCTCCGAAAACGTATACTTCGATTTCGGCATCCTCTTCGTCTTGGAGTAATCGAGCTTTGGAAATCGGTCAAGGGGGTGTGATATCTTACGAATTGTCACCTGCGGTAGTGCCCACGGATTCTCAACGGCACGGGTTCTCAACCGCGAAGTGCGTTCGGACAAGGAAGGCGTTTCCAAGGGAGAGGAGGGGGTGGCGTGTGGGTGTGGGCGATGATTTTCCTCCATGCTCGCGTCGTCATGGCGATGCCTTCAGGTTCCTAGTATTGTAGGACGATGACAGGTAGTCTTGCTTCCATGATTTGCTCTTGCCTACTTTCGGGGCAGCGTTTGGCTGTGATTTCGGGGTCAGTGGAAGGCGGCAGCGGTTGACCTGGTAGATGGTGGAACGGGGCAGGTCTACGGTGGAATGCGGTAGTTGTCCTAATTTCCGCGTGAACATCTTGTGGTGGCCTGAAATGTACCACGGGACATAATCCTAATACCTCTCCCCGCTCCGTCGAAAAAAGCCTAGTTGCGTTGTGGGGGCCGTATCGCTGCGGTACGTAGTTGGTCTACGGATGAGCGACCATCCCACCCCCTCTTTTTTTTTCATTTATTTTTTGATGTGCGAAAAGGTATGAGTACGGGTCCGAAGAGGCGGACAGGAGGGTGGAGAAGGCGGGCTACTGCCGGGTGCACATGCCGTCCATCCCCCGCACGGGCAGCACGTGGTTCAGGGCCCTGTTCGAGACGGCCACCTCGCAGCCCTCGTTCTCCATGTGGCCGGGTATGTTTCGCTCGGAAAATTGTCCTGCAGTGTTCTCTCTGTTTGTATGTCGGCCTTTTTCTCTAAATGCACCCCGTAGCTTTAGCTTTTGGCGGGTTTTGTGCGTTACTCCTTTGTGTTTTTTTTTTTTGCCATGATGGTGTTGTGGGGATAAAAGGTTGCGGGAGCGTTGTGTGTTTTGTCTATTCACTTCGGCGGCAGGTTGGGTGCCTCGCGCTCTTACGCGGCTCGTTTTGTCACCACGGTGTGTACTGGGCGTTTGCGTGACAGACTCTCATGCGTTGCTGGTGGTTGCTCTCGGTGTGGGGGGAGAGCGTTGGCGTGGTTGGCAGCGGCTGCGAGGCAGCTCGTAGCCCCTTTTTTGTGGTTTTTGGGTGTTAACGGTCGCTTTCCCGTTCCACTCGTCTTCCTGTGCCGGTTAATATACAAGCGAAAAAACCCTGGGTGCGTCAACGGTATATTGTGTTGCATGCTTGTTGTGTTCATGCAGAGGGTGGCACGTTAAAGGAGCGGTACAACGCCTTTTCTTCGGACGACCCCTGCGGAGCCAGCCTGGATCACATGGAAGGCAACCTGAGATCGGAGGCGAAGTTCCCCTGCAGAGACCTCCGGTGAGCCAGCAATTCTGTGGTTTGTTCTCTGCTGGATCCGTAAAGGGTTGTTGTTCGGTGTCGCTTCCAACTGTTGCTCAGTTTCAGGTATGATGGATTTCCATTTGTTAATGTTCGATTGCCAGGTGTGATCGTGATTGTTCTGAGTCCTGAGCGGTTGAGTGCCGAAGAGGAAATGCTTTCATATATGACGGTCCTCCCAGTTTTATATGCCACCTCCGCCCTAATCATGAATGGTCGTCGAGTAGATTATGTTGTGCGGGGTCGAGAACCCTCACTCTGCGCAAAGGGGATATTCGCACGTTGTGTTAAATTGGTCAAGCACCCTCGAGGCAGTGACACAGTGCTTACAACTGTCTCTGGAAGTGAAAACACCAGAAAAATAAGTCAAGTCATACGCAGCTGTCATCCGTACGCAAGGAACTAAGCACAAGATGCCGAACACCCTGTAGCAGGATGCAGCGCACCCTTCATGCGACTCGCCGAATACCTCACGGCGCTTCGCGCTTGGTGATGCGAGAGCGTGGTCCGGTGAGAACCCGGCGTGCTACGTCCCGGCGTTGTAGGGGTGCGAGGTCAATGGTCTAACGACTACGGCATGCACGACTATGAGTACCCCCTCCGCCCCCTCCCTACCCTAACCTTGGTGTGCACTTGCGGTGGAATATCCAGGCCGCCGAACGCGACGTCTCCCATCCTGTACAAGAGCCACACTCCCTTCTTCCCGTCGTACAACAAGCCCAGCCTCATGCCCGAGGATACGTGCATGCTCGTCCTGCTCGTAAGAAACCCGATCGACAACCACGACGCCTGGCAGAGGTATGCATGTTGCCGTGCAGCAGCTATTTATCTAGCTGCACCGTAGCCTTTTCGTGTTGCCGTGGAAACGAAAGCACCGTTCGGTTTAGGTCTTGCAGCAGCTCTGTAGCTGCACCGTAGATTTTTCGTGTCGCCGTGGAAATGAAAGCGCACCCTTCGTTTTTTTTTGTACTCGGCGGAACGTGGGGCGAATTTCACGCATGCTTGGACCCGTTCATCCGAATCGTACATCTGTTTTGTTCAAGAATTCAATGTAGGACTCACCAGTCCAAGAGGTAACACGTACACATTGAAAATCTTTGTAACACGGTACGATCTATTCGCTCCGAAATACCGATGATTCTCCCCCGGTTGGATCCCGCGTACGAAGGCGCCATCTGACTTGGTTGTGAACGCCTTTATTTTGTCGAGTTCCGTATCCGATTTTGTTTTGAACCCTTTTCTTGTCGAGTCCCTTCTCTGGCTATATTTTGAACGCCGTTCTTGTCGTTTCTTTTACCCTCCGCTGGCACCCTTGGGTTGCTGTTCAATCTGATATCGTTCTTGAACGCCTCTCTTGCTCTTGCTTATATACCCTCCGCTGTCCTTCCTCGCTGCTCAGGTACATGGCCGGAAAAGCGCAGTGTTTGAGGGATTACTTGCCGGTGTGGCAGGGGCACCTGTCCCACTGGGTGGCCGCGGCCGGCGACATCCCCATCTACGTCTTCCGGTACGAGGACATGCTGCTCAGGGCCGAGGAAGTTCTCAGGTGTGCGGCACCCACGCCTCCCTCACGTGCTGGTTGCTGTTGCCGTTGCCCTGCCGTCTGTGGTCGTCTCGTCCTAGTTGGGTTTGTTTGGCGTGAATGGTTGCTCCACGGTGCTGCCGATAGCGAAATGTGTGCTGAGGAAGGAGTCCTTGTTGCTGGCTGAGAAGGTGATGGTCACCATCCCCCCGGAGCGGGCGAGTGGGCTCGCTTGCCGTGGTCGTCGTGCCCGTGCGTGTTCTCTGCTGGACTAGCTGCTGCGGTTGCTGCTGTTGTTGTTGTTGCTGTTGCTGTTGCTGCCGCTATTGATTCCGCAGCTGTCGGTGCATGGTGCCTTTGGTTCTGGCGTCGTTGCTGTTGCTGTTGCTGTTGCTGTTGCTGGTTATCGCTGATGAAACTGGTGTTGCTGGTGCTGCTGCCCTTGCTTCCTCGACCGTGTCGTACCACAGGAGAATACTCAACACGCTGCCGGGAGGGTGGAACTGGTCGGAAGAATCGATCGCCAGGGCGATGAGGTAAAACGTCCGGCCGCCCCCCCCCCCCCCCATTTGATGTGTGCTTCTCCTACGTTTCCGATTCAGTGGGTGAGGGCTACACTACTCCGCCGCTGCGCGCTGATGGGAACGACGGGATACACGGAGTGCGCTGGCTTCCCATGTGTCCACATGTCCGTTCATGGAATGAAGCCCGTAATGAAGCAGTGGCACTTCGCACGTTGAAATCGAATCGTGGCTCTAACGATATAGAATCACCGGTCTACCTCCAGTGTATATTTTTTCTTTGTGCCTTCGAATGCAAGGTCTACTGCTCCCCTTTTCGTTTTCACTGCTCGAACCTGCGGTCCGTCAAAAAAGTCCATTGGCCTGCGGTGACGCCCTGTCTCACTGTTTTGATCTCGTGCCGGGTGTGCAGCCTGTTTGGCCCCAAGAAGTCGTTCACGCAAAAATGCGGCGCGGGCTTTCCCAGGGCTAGTCTTGCCGAGGTGAGAGCTATCCCGTAGATGTCGTAGATGTCGTAGATGACGCAAACGGCCGACGGTGTGGTGGTGGTGGTGGTGGTGGTTCGTCGTCGTTGTTGCATTTGTCTCCGATGATGTCGTCTCTTGCAGTTGTTGCTTTTGCCCCAGCATTCAACATTCCCTCTTACGATCAACGCCGCCGTTCTTGCTGATTCTGCTGGGGACCGATCCCCCGGAATTTCCCGCCTTGCATTTGACAGCTGAACGTGAATCACTTGACTGCCCGCGAAATTGCAGGTGGAAATGGTCCGACGGCACTACGGCGCCTACATGCGGCACTTTGGGTACCGTTTTGTCGAGACATGAAACGGCACATTGCATCGGCCATCTACGTGGAGGGAGGTTGACGGCGATGTTGCCGGAACGTTGACTGTTGTTTGTTTCCCCTTATCCCTTATACCCTATACCTCGTTTCACGTTGTCCGTGTTAAAATGTCGACGGCTGCCTTGGGAAATTTGGTGTGAGCCTTGGGGAATGGCCTCTTGCGAAAGTGATGGGCGTTTGGCAGCTTGGCGACTTGTGGTTGTGGGTGGCATTCCGTAGACCGAGATTCATTGGTATTGGAGGTTCATTTGGTGTTGCCGTTTGGTGGCCTTCGCGTGTCGTGTTCGTTACTTCATGAGCGAGTATCCATGGCAGCTTTCCGGTAGGGAACAGGTCAGACGAGGCAAAAGACGGAAGCTGTGTTTATTTTTGGGGAACCAGTCGTTCCTCCACAGGTTGGCCCGATGAGGACAGGAGAGTGAATGCCAAGTATGACTTGTGTGTGTGTGTTTTTTTGTAACAAAGGGGGGGTCCCGGAAGTAGGCTTGCTTTGCAATCCATAAGGAAACGGCGCCCGTCCGAAGGGATGGGAGGGGTAACTGAGTGGGGGCGTGTTGTCCCCTCGTGTTTGTGTCGTGCGTGCACCCATAGCTACAGTTTTGTTTCGGGGGTGGTGGTTAGTTGGTCTGTACTTATTTTTCATTCTGATGGCGTGCTTGCGCTCACATGACACGCGTCTTGGATGAACGGGTATTGCTTGCGTGTGGCCGTCGGGTGTTGGGTGTTTTTGTTGTGGATGGGCACCCGTGATGATTTTTCGCCTTCTCCTGTTCTTTTTTGTTGAGTGTGGTTTCAAACTTCCCTCTTGGCGTGCAGTTTTTCTGCTGTTGGTAATTGTTGTTGTTTTGAGATGGAAAGAAATGCGTGTTTGTGACGTGACCAACGATCTGTCTCGTGCTGCCTTTTGTTCAGAGCCGCCTCTGTCTTTGGTCTCCTGCTACTGTACGGCAGACATAGTCAGACACGTGAACGCTGGTATAGCACCATTGCCGATGCCGTTTTTTTGAAGGTGCAGAGCGAAGATGCATCAGGAAACAAAGTATTCCTTTTTTGTTTTTGCCGCAGACGAGTCTTGGCAAGTCCCTGGTGCACGTTTGCCCGCCTCAATACGCTGGCAGCCTTGCTTGTTTCCTCGGAGTCGAGATCGCTTGTCCGGTCGGTTTCGCGGTGGTTCGGACTTCTTTTCCGTAGTTGTGCCAAGGTGGTGGTGCTTGTTTAGATCCTTTGCGTGTCGGTGTGACGTTGCCCTTGGCCTTGCCGTTTTCCTGTCATCGACTCTACGTTGTTTGATTCGCAGGTACATACACGTTCATTTTTTCTTTGTTGCTTCGTGTTTGACCGTGCTTGCTGAATCTGCCTTGGGTTTTTGTGATGTGCCTCTTGGACTAGCGTATAGCTCCCCAACCTATGAAGTTGAACCCTGTTGGCACGTGCGGCCACCCGGTTAGATCTCTGGTGTGGCTGACCTCACGCTTCCGAGGGCGGCGGTGGCGGTGGCGGTGGCGTCGTACAGCCTGTGCGTGACGGTAGCCTCGATCGCGGTGTTGTATGTACAAGAGAGCTGAAGCAGACAGCTACAGATCATGCATAGCCTCTGAGTGTTTGCCTCCGGAGGGTGTGAACGGTATTGATGGCAACATTGGTAGGTATATGTGGGAAATGACATGACCGGTGCCAACGTTGAATACGCCCTGTCCTAGAAGTGGTACAGGGATAGAACCGTCCCGTCCGATGCTTGTCGTGATTGGGAGTCTTTGATGATTTGATTTGGTTTGAATTCGTTTGCTTGGCCTCGCGTTCCAGTGGGAGAGGTGGGCGCTGTGTATCGGTTCCCCTTTGCTCACAAGTCACTTTACGAAGTTTGACTGCTTGATGTCCTTCTGGTTGTTATTGATATCGCGTTGGTGCCGATTTTTCTGGGTACTTTTATTCCTCTTGATTTTGCAAGGCTTCTGTGCGTGAGTTTGACCAATGCGGATGTGAAAAAGGGTTGAGTAGACTTCGGAACGGTAAATTGCCAAGAAAAATACCAACAACAACAACATCAACAACAACAACAACAACAACGGCACATTGCTCTGTGTCCCGGTCGTGCAACGCAGGCGGAAGAAAAGTAAAGTCGAAGTCGTCTCGCCAGCAAAATAACTGCCCGTACCAGAGCATAGCCTGCTGGTCTCACTCACTTCGTTCTCGTACCGCACATCCACATGTCGGGCGGTTTTTCGCGGCCCTGGTGTAGAAGCACGATGGCTCTCTGGCGATGTTAGGCCCTGTCTCATTGAAATCCACCTTTCGGGTGGAAGTCAATACCTACCTCCAGGTCTACGCAGCAACTGCCACCCCCCCCCGTTGTGCTCATTGTATGCCACAGCCCGAGAACCCCGCTCCTTCGGCATTCACTCAAGATACCGGCCACGGAATGTGATTGGCAGGCAAGTTGTTCCACTATTTCCTGCAGGAATGCTGCAATACCCGCGCATCAGACAAGGGTTTTCTCATCAGAGCTGTCCATGTCTATATCTGTCCGTGTGATTTGGGAAGCACCAAAAATTTGGAGCAGATATCATACACGACCAGCTAGCGCGGTTGGATGCTGCTGCAATTGAATGATACACATGAAATTTGGTCTGTCTTCTGATTGGCCAGGGAGTGGAACGCGCCGTCGATGCTACCAATGGGGCCTCCCACAGTATAGCTCAACCGCCCATGGGGCACCCAAGGGCTTACTATGGGTGCGCACCGAAGAAGTGCCCATAGCCACAGTGGGTGGTGCCCATGGGCTCCCCAGGGGGAATGCCCACGGACAAGCCCATGGGTAGCCCGTGGGAGCCCATGGGCAACCCATGGACCGTCAATGAGTGCCCTTCATCCGCAATCAGTGTACTCCGAAACAACATATTACCTGCTTTGGAAGGGGTAAAATAACGGCGAACCTAACGCCCACACGATACGTGCTGTAGGTTGGTGTTGGGTGACAGTTCTACACTAGGTTGATGTGCCGCTGGATGAGTTCTAGGTTGAAGGGCCCAAGGTGGGCAGCTCATGGGCAGTTCATGGGCTGCCACGGGCCCACCCATGGGCAGCTCATGGGCAGCCCATGGGTGGTACTGTGGTAGAGTGCCCACAGTAATGGAGAGACTGTGGCGTTCGTTAACTGACATTATGTGCCAACAAAAGCACAAGGATCCTGATACAAAAGTCGGGGGTTTAGAGATGGTATTCGCAGACAACAGAGCAGCTTGAAGTACGCGAAATATCTGCACGTCCTACCTACTATGTTGCGTCCGTAGGCTCCAGTATTATGTACGTATCGAGCGTGCCACCAATCCATCTTCTGTTGTTGATCATGGGCGTACACCATCGCTCTTGGGCAGATCATTTGATCTTTGTGTAGGTGACGTCGGCCGTTATTCGGCGTTTCACTCTGAGATCATCATACGAAAATGGATGCCATCATCGGCATCATGGTTTGCAAGAAGTTCATATTCGGCATAATCGGTTGCAAAATGCTCACATCAGAGGCATTTCCGAACACTGGTCTTCATTGGACTGCGAGTGAAATATATGCTTGGAAGAGCTTTCCATTCACTCGACAAGTACAACTTTAGCACCTGCTGTGTCTTGACATGAATGAACGAGAAAATAATGAGAACATTACAGCAGTAATTTGCTGCACTGTCAACGACCCGAGGCTTCAATACAAAAATAGTACAATTCCCTCCGACGGGATAGTACGCCTCGTTGTTGTGGACCCGAGGTCGGGCAGGATTATCTTCAAACGTATCCTCTGTTCAACTAGTTGGATGGGCAGTTCTTCAAGGTTGTCTATTATGGGCGTGCAATATCGTGTGAAAAGTTCATTCCGTCCACTCTCTCACCGAAATCTCACCGAAATCGGGCCGCGATCTCGAAGCGGCTGGAACGTCTCCAATTACCTGCAGTATTTCAAAGGCGGTGGTCGTGTTCGGCAGCGAAGACCTTTCGAATGGCGAATGAACAAGACGCCTACGAGGGCGATTGTATTAGGTGAGAATGATTTCACACCAGCGAAGAGGAAATGACATTGCGGGATGTTTGAACTTTGGATGAATTGCGACAAAAGCCTGACCTAGGGAAGAGCAAGTACGACGTCAGTTATGGACATGTTGAAACGCTGGCCGTGATCTATTGCAGTGAGTACTCGAACGCTATTTCTTGCCACTAGAATCCGCAGGTGTAACCTAGACTTCTGCTGCACTTGAAATCTGAAGGAAGTGCCACCCAGGCGTTGATGACCCAAAACACGACGATCGACCACCCACAACAACCTTCGTGTTTCTCGTTACCCCCCTCAACATCTTGGGGTTCTTTCAACTGTTCACGACATACCCGGCGCCCGAGCTTGACGGCTACATCCACGCCAGTCAGCCTATCGTGAGCCTCCAGGACAATAGCAAGTTCCCTTCTGCAAGAAGACACACGACGCCCAAGCGACCTCCAGGTTTCAGATCTTCGCTGGTGTACACTCGCAGGTGATTTCTCTCCGTGTGCTCTCTCCGCTATGGGTGCAGCTGTGGTGCTGACGTTTGGCGCCGGGAAAATAGTCGACGCGTGCGTCGTCTACTACACCGATACCCGACGAGTTGCCCAGGATACGCCTCTCGAAGAGTGTCTTCAGAAAACTGTCGTCGGGCACGAGGTCGACCTCGGGTTCAAGACTGGTCATTCTGTGTGAGAGAACGTTTTCCGACCGATGGACCTCCCGAGCGCCCCGGGAGACTGGGTCCTCTGCGCCACCCTGCCACGTGGGAAGCGATACTTGACGGGTTGCTCGCATGTTCTATGTTCCTCTACGTATGACGAATGCACAGTCTTTTCGGCATGGCTTCGCGGTCATAATTGATATCGCGAGCCGTCTCCAGTCAAGAAATGCCACGAATGAGTGTGACTTTTGCTCGTATATGCAGCTGGGCTGACAAGGCCAAAAGTGTGAGAGTCGACACTCTCCGTGCGCACAGCCTCGGCCGACTTGTTCGTGTGATGGGGGCGTTGCGTGACCAGTCTTCGGTTCAACCAAAAGCCAACCTTGATATTGAACAAGAACGTTTCTCCAATCACCATGCAATAGTCCTCACCATCCGTCCCTTTGCACTGGAGGATATTATGCTGTCCACTCGGGTTTCAGGTCAAAGACACAGCGACAACGGAGAAACACATTTAGTTATCCGAGGAGAACCAAACTTGTGTTGACGCCGCGCCTTCTTCACGCACCTGAGCGAACAATATCGCGAACGGGGGTCGCCGGTGTCACATCCGGTTGCATTACGCGGAACACGATGTTCGCTGTGCATCAAGGTGGTCCCCAGAACTCGAAGCCCAACTTTCGGATATTTCTGCTAAGTTTCCGGCACCGCGTCGAACAGAGAAGACAGCGTATTTCACTTTTATTTCACTCCTGTACTCTTGTGAGAATCCTTCCCGACGAACGGCAGACGATCCCCTAAGCTCTGGAAAAGACTGACCGAGTCTGTCCATGAAAACCTACGAACTGGAGCCAACAGGATGGGATGGCACGTAGGTTGGCGCGAGTATGTGTGGGAGGGATGGGACGGTGTAACAACCAACATACCGACGATGAGGTGTATCGGCCAATCCGATGCCTTTCGTAGACCACCGGCGTGACTGGCTTCAGGGATCTCTGACTCCATGCAGAAGAAACGGTTGACCCGGATGCTCAAAGAGCACACACATGTGCGGCACAGCCGTGCAGGGTCGTTGACAATATATGGTTGGCTCTTGAAGTGTCCATACAAAGAGAAGGAAGGGTGATAGTGAAGCTATCGACTTCTGTGTTGTACATGCACCGCGCTAGGTATAATACCAAGCGTCGATTATCCCGTCGAGGACCTCGGCATTCGGCTGTTTGGCAAGTCACTCCTGCGGTCGGTTGGTAAACACGTGAACTTGTCTTCCTGGAGTCCGCGAGCAAGGTCACTCGCGAAATGTAATTTATGAGAAGAGTTCGTTGGGCGACTCGAAGTCCGCACATCAAACATAGCCGTTGTAGTGATTGTTTTCTCGCCTCAAGAATCTATGTGCCCACCGCTAGTTTGTTCAGGCATGGAAAACATTCATTCATTCCCATCATTTAGAGGCATCCTGGCTTGACGGAACATATTCATTTAGATGCAGGGGTACGGGAAAAGGTTATCCCAGCTCGGCCCACACGCGGAAGGTTCGTTGAAATTGCTCAGAGTCGCGACATTCGGTATCAACGCTAATGCGATTCGAGTGGACCCAAGTGGGTGTGCGGCGGCGGCCATGCACTGCACACACACATGGTACTCTTCCTACCGACGTGTTCGCTATTGTCAAATTTGAATGGTCGAGGTCAATGAATTGAATCTTCTGTCACATTGACCCGATGTCGGTGTAACATCATGTAAATACTTGGTCTATCCTCATGGATGCCCCGAGGGTGATGGCAACTCAATCATGGCAACGACCTGCTCTGATGACAAAACTTAAAAACATTCGTTATCATTTTGTTCGCGTAGATCTCATCACGGATCTAGTTTTCTCACTCGTTTGGGAAGATGGGAAATTGTACGTCCCGCCACTGATGGAAGCGTTGACATTGACTGAAAATACTAGTAATGGTTGTGCAACGGTCTCCGGCGGTGAGGCATCGAACAGACTCGCAACGCAACTACTACCCATGCCCGACAGGAAATGACGGGACACACCCGAGAAAAATGAATCCAGTGGCAAGCATCGGTTTCAAGTCACACCGAACGCCCACTGACGAAACCGTGCCGATTACGCCTATTTCAGTCGTAGATATTCCTTCGCTCGACGTATGTAGCTCGCGCTTCACCTCATCTGTGGGAAGGCAAAAATGGGCCCCATTCTTGGGCGGGTTGGGTAACCTACATTGTTTGACTCATGGAATAAACTTCCATGGGAGTCGAGAAATTGACTTCCATGGAAATTAGATGGCTTCCGTGGAAGGTTTTGGGCTTCCATGGAGTCCAATTGACTTCCATGGAATCTATTCGTCTGTTTCGGGTTCCAGCTTCCATGGTGCTTCCATAAAAGCGGCAACCAACTACCATGGAAGTTACTCCACTTCCATGGAAGCACCAACATCAACCGCTCGTTGCCTCTATGGAAGTCGCATTTTGGACTTCCCCGGAAGCGTGACGAGCTTCCTTCCACGGAAGATCGTCGCTCGAGAGTCTCTGCTACTTCCGTGGAAACACGAAAACTTCTATGAAAGCAACTTCCATGGAAGTGGGTGACAGAGTTCGAAACCGACTTCCGTGGACGAACCGACACTTCCTGAAAACAACTCCAAGGAAGCGTCTGGACATGCGGTCATTCCAGCTTCCCTATCCTAACCTTAACCCTAACCCTTACAAAACCCTAACTGTGACCCCGAAAAGATGGTGGGAGCTAGCCCGGGGCTGATTATTTCCATGGAAGCTGCCCTAAACCTGTTTTGAATAGCTTCCATGGAAGCCGAATGTTCGCCTTCCATACAAGGCTCATTAGCTCTGTCGCTAAAAATGACTTGGACTTTGAACCCAGCTTTTTCTCGGACACCGCCGGCATTTCCAACGCAACGCACTTTATCGTAGAAAACGAAAAAAACAGTCGTGTACATTCTTGTGACCACGGACCGAGTCTTCGCTAGATTTTGGGATTTAGCAACCGACACAACTTTAAGTGAAGACAACAACAACAACAACAACAACATCGCCTGTTGCAGTCTCGGGAACTGTACTTCCGCGCACTGATTACGGGTCCCGTCCGTGACCTGGCGATATTTTGGGGGATGATGTGCGGGTATTTACGGTAGTCCGTCACTACAGACAGTTATGATGTCGGATGCGTCATATCGCATACAGTGTGGACCCGCCAAGCGTGCGCCTGAAACACAAAATGAACGTGCTGTGGCGGGAACGGTCCTTCGTCCGCAACCTTAAGTTCGTGCGGCGCTTCGACACCACAATAATGGGGGACAACCTCGTCTTAAACGCCTGGTCCATCTTGCCGTTGTAGGCTTGCATCGGAATGAAGTCCCTGTCGTGGAGAACAAACTACCCTGAAAAGAAAAAAATGTAGACTATCCCACAACAAAATGTGTACACCATCTCACAAACTAGACTAAAAGTGTATCCAATCTCACAAACTATGAGTATCAGCTCCAGAATAGACAAACTGAATACCGTATCGGTAGTTCAAAGAATAAAAAAATCAAAGTTCTAGTTTCAAGCTTAACATTTAGACAAGATGTAACGCGTGCGATCGCGAGAAATTGGTCATCCCGCCATCACCACTGCATACGCCCATAAAAATCATGCCCACATAAAACAGAAGCCCATGCACAGGTATAAGCCCTACAGTAAACATGTCCTCGCCCGAGAACGCTTCGTACGGCTGTGGACACGGAGGCCTTGGCCCCTCTTTGCCCATTTTTGGGCGGCTCAAGAAGGTTCCAGCTTTGCTGACGTGTACCTTAGATGGCTGGGCAGCAATGAATCAATCGTCGTGCACAGCAGGATAAAACAAGCTTTTCGTGCAACATTTTTCGCCAGGCAATCACGGCAGGCTTGAACGTTAGTATAATGGCACAAGGAAAAACAACTGTTTTACCCTGTGTCGGTCTCCCACGAAACACCTCTGCCGAAATTCCTCCACACCAGAAGTTGTCGTTGGCGGCGGCTTGCTTTGTTTCCTTTCGGGAGTGTCGTGATAGAGAGAAAGACGCCCATCGGTTTTACGAAGCCCCACGTTCACGTTATTTCTTAATGAAACGGTATCCCAAGTGTCGCATGAAGGCACCGTAGTGCAGGCGCACCATCTCCACCTGTCGAAAAAGCAGGAGTGCGTGCAACACAAGGAACAAGGTGAGCAACATCGTCGCCCTTCACACATGAATATTGTTGTTGTTGTTATTGTTGTTGTCTTCACATTAAAAACCGTTTCGATCTCTCTCTACCCAGTACCTTCATATGCCCGTACTGATCCAACACTTGACGCGGTCGATTCCCGTGGTCACAGGCTAACTTACCCCAAAAAGGTACACTCAAATAAACTGGCCCCGAGGGGTCCGCAAGTCCATAGAAATCAACGACAGATATTCTGGAGTCCTTCGCTTCCTCTGCACGCGATGCGAGGAAACAACTGAGACTAGGTCACGGGCCAGAGAGAAAGAGGTACCCCCCCTTGTTCAATCTTGGTACTTCACAACGCCAGCAGAGACAAGGCCATCTGACACAGAAAAAGAGGGAAAAAAGAGAGAACAAGAGAAAAAATAAAAGGAAACAGGAAGGAAAGAGAAAATAAAACGAAAAAGAGCGAGGACAAAAAGGGACCAGGCCGAAAATAGCAAGAAATAAGAGACAGAAAAAGAGGCACACGCACTAACGAACAAGCAAACACGCAAACATGGCCACCAACCAGCGATACATTGTAATGGTACCTCATCACTAGTTTAGTGCGGGGTTGGTGCAATGGTGCAGCGTTGGGGGGGGGGAATTAGCTAAAAGAAGTTCGATCCGGCACGTATCACGCCACTCGGTCTGTCTCTTCTCGTTTGCTTTCTTCCCTCGCCGTCTCGTCCGTCTCCTGCCCCCCTCCCGCCCCATTGGTTATTGGCTTGTGGTCTTGTTTGAGCGCTCGTTGTCGGCTGGCCTCTTCTTCCTTTTTGTGCCAGAAGGTCATGAACTTCTCATCTCCCTGCAGCACCGCCGCATGCCAGGGTACTCCCCCCTCCACCTTCGCGGCTTCCGTCCACTTTAACTTCGGTCCCGTGTCTTTCGGTACCGGGATTCCGAGACGACATGGATCGGTTTTCGTAGATCCGTGGTCGGCCCCGAATGCCTTCAGGTCGTCGCGCACACACTTCGGCCAGTTCTGTTCCTGTCCCCCCCTACGTCGCTTCTCCCCCCCCGCTAGTTCGCCGAGCATCAGTCGTTTCGGGAGTCTCCCGTCCGGCTGCCTTGCCAATGCTCCCGAGAACAGTAGGCGTCGCTGTCGGATCGTGGCTTCAACGCTCTGGCATCCGACCCTCTTCAGCGTCTGGGCGTAGGAAAGCTGCCGGTAGGTGTCTTTCTTGCGCTTGTACCCGATAACTCGAAGGAGCAGTCGGTGGTGTATCGACCGCAGCGTCTGGTAGTGGCCGCTGAGTGGTGACCATGTCATGCAGCCGTATAGCAGTGCCTCCATCGCCCCCGCCTGGAGCAGGCGGATCTTGAGTCGGAATGGCGCTTTCGGTCTGTCGAAGAGCTCCCGGCCATATCGCCCAAGGGACACTCCCACGCTCCTCGGCTCCTGTAGTTGATCTCCCGGGTGAGATCGCCATGTTCGTTGACGAGGCCATCGAGGTACTGGAACTCGGTCGTCTGGGCGTATTTCTGTCCCGCGGCTTCGATGGTCAGCGGTGGAGGCGGGGGGGGGCTGTGGTGTTGTAGTCGGCTTGTCCTTCGCGCGCATCAGGAGTGTCTCGGTCTTCTTCTCCGACACCGTCAGCCCGAACTCCACGAACATCTCAATGATGATGGTCATCATTCTCGCCAGTCCTTCTGCAGACTTCGATACGACGCCGGCATCATCGGCATACAGCATCCCCCATACTGCCCTCCGTACTCGGTCAAGGAGTGTCTCCTCCCCCCCCCCCGCTTCCATCTTCCCCTCTGCCAAGCATACCAGGCTCCGCAGAACAACATCATCCTCGCTGAATCGGATGACAACGACCTCGAGGACCTCGGCGAAGAAGATGTTGAACAGCAGTGGGGATAGCACATATCCTGTTGCACGCCCTGTGTAACGAAGAACCAGTCCGATAATTCTCTGTCGTCCAGACGCACCCGGGCCGGCATTCCATCGTGGAAATGGCGGATTACTTTGATCAGCTTCGCGGGAATCCCGGCCCTGGCCAGCACCTTCCATAACATCTCTCGGTCCACCGAATCATATGCCTTCTTTAAGTCGACGAAGCACATTTGGAGCGGTATTTTCTTTCTCCGCCCCAGCTCCTGGAAGCGGCGCACGACGAACAGCATGTCGACGGTGGATCGCCCGGGTCGAAATCCGCACTGTTCCTCCGGGAGGATATTGTTGGCTTCGCAGAAGGCGCTTAGACGGTTGATGATGATCTTGATGGGGACCTTGCCTATGTGAGATAGGAACGAGATCCCCTGAAGTTGTTACAGTTGGACCGGTCACCCTTCTTGTACAACACCTTGATGGTTGCATCCTTCCACTCTCGCGGAATATATCCCCTCCGTTCCACACCTTTACGAGGATGGTATGGAGGTGCCCCAGGACGAAGGTTTCGTCGTCATCGATCTTGAGCAACTCGGCAGGGAGGGAGTCATGGCCGGGTGCCTTCCAGTTCTTGAGGCCTTTCGTTGCCAGTTCCACCTCCTCGAGTTCTGGCACCTCTCCCGACCGTTGAGTGTCACGTGTCGCTGGCCGCTGTGTCACACGTTCGATGATGTCTGGGTTCAGGGTAGGGATTTGGTGTTGAGCAGGGTGCTGAAGAATCTCGCCCACCGCTAGAGGATGTCGTCCCTGTTTCGGAGCAACACGCCGTTCTCATCCGCGACGAACTGTTGTCCCCCCGCTTGCCCTCCGCTGAGACCCACTAATCTCTTGAGGTTTTGGCACAGTCCTCTCATGTCGCGTTTTTTGTAGATTGCTTCGAGTTCAGTCACATATCCGTCCAGGTGGGCAAAAATGCCCGTTTCGACTGCTGAAGCCACTCCCTTACACGCTGCTTTGAGAACCCTCCACGTTGCTGAGTCTCACTGCTCGGTGCGCTTCCCGCCGTTTGGTAAGGGCCTCCTCCAGCACTGCTCTCGTCTCTGGACTCCTGCGTGCGGCGTCTCCGCGGTTCCTCCCCTGGGGTTGTCCGCGCTGCTTCGAGAAGAGCATTGGCAAAGTCGGTCGCCATTTCCGCAGCGGTGGTTGTTCGCTCGTCCAGTCGTGTGTCGAGGTTGAGGAGGAACCGATTAGTCACCGCACACTGTGCTGCTTCGAACTGCAATTCCCGTCGGTTGAATTGCTTCTGTTTCGGTTTAGTCCGGACTGCACTATTGTTGGCAAGCCTGGCACCAAGGTTGACGGTGGCTACTACCATATTGTGGTCTGAGTCTGCTTTGACAGGGCGAACCGGCTGGGGGATGACAACCACGTTAGATACTCGGCCGTGATGTGCCTGCCTTGTCAGGATGTAGTCAAGGCGCTTGCAATCGGTTCCCGACACACCTGCCATATTCCGCCCTTGCGTGTCTCAAAGAACGTGTTCGTGAGAGCTAGCCTGTTTTCCGTTGCGAAGTTCAACATGACCGACTCCGAAGAAACACACCGCATAAACGCAAACGAAATTAACGGGTGCCAACACCAACATGTCTCCAAACTTCGAAAAAGCACGGCCCCGCTAAAGGGTGTCACACTTCGCGTCTTCGGCCTCCTACACAACCATCCGGGAGGCTGTCTTGTGAATCGTTCTTGCCGCTTGGCATGCGTGTCGACGTCCCTCCGTTGCGCAAACCCAGCCCCCCCCGTCGCCTTCGTCCCAAAAAACCAACGTGGGGGTCATCATCTCTCATGGTCTCCTCTGCGGGTCCCCTCCCCGCTTGTGATGTCGGGGCCCATTCGTTCGTTGAGTTTTCTCACCTCTGCAACACTCATCTGCCTGACGCCGGCCCCGCACTTGTCCTCGAAAGCTGTCTTGGGGCCGAACAACCTGCCACCGCCAGGGTTGGTTACCGTACGTTCCACCCCGAGGGAAAACAGGACAAATTAAACGGCACGACGGAGACGTGGTTACTGGTGGGCCACGTGGGGGACATATTCCAACAACCAACGGTATGCCAGGAGGACTAAAACGCGTGCCATCTCCACCCTACGGCAGTCGGGATGCACACCAGTGACTGGTCACCTTAGGAATGCTACTGCTGCGCCTCCTGCTTCGCCCCGCGGTGCAGTAGCAGCAAACATGCAGAAGAAGCAGCGTGAAGAGTGCAAAGGCCAGATGCAGTCTGTGTCTCGGTTCACCCATGACCGTGCGACCACGCATTTCAATGGGTCGGCTTTCAAGAACAACGCGTTATGGCTGGTTGTCGAGTTTGAATGCTTTCGTGCCAAGGTCTTCCCCTGACGCCTTGAGCGAATCGCAGCATGTCATCCCGAAGGCAACTTCGTTAAACACTATGGAGCTGCGTCAGCAGGGCAGCAAACCTGGTGTGTGGTTGTTGGGAGCGTGGTTGCTACAGTTTGACCAGCACCATTCACACACGCAAGGATCCGCGCACTTGCCTCATCGCCTTGGCAATCGAGTCCTCGGACCAGTTCCACCCACCGGGTAAAGCGTGAAGTATTCTCCTGCAAAGCGACGGAGAGGGAACAGAGCCCAGAAATAGCAGCACCACCGACCGCGAGCGAATATCGAAACCTCAGCAGCTGAGACAGGGGAACTGTCGCGACTAAATCCAGCGAAGGTTCAACATTCCAAGAGGAACTCCCTCTAAATTTCGTGTTCGGCTGTGGGTATTAGAAGCCGAAATCAAACCATTGGCCTAGTCAGCGCTGGTTAGTCTAATGGTTTGACTTCGGCTTCGATGCAAGTTATAGATGTGGGTGCGAGACCCAGGCTGGACACTTTGAGGTGGTTTCTTCCCTGAGACCCTGGATACTCCCGGCCAGAGTGTTGGTGACGGAAGGACTCGTCTGAGACCCTAGAACATGCTGCAGGATGTGGGTGGCGAGTGGCATGAAGCGAAATAAAGAGGGCACGGATAGTAGCGCTGGCAAGGGTAGTCACCCTCGTCGGAAGTGCAAGTGCCGAACCCCAATAAATACTATAGAAGCCACAATCAAACCATTAGACTCGCCAGCGCTGACTAGTCTGATGGATTGACTTTGGCTTCAACAGGGTATGACGTTCCCAGCAACAACAAGTGCAATCACAGCAGTTGGGACTCACGCTAGCGGCAAACCAATAAAAATAGCAACGAAAACCAAAATAATAACCAACACAGCAGGAACGAGAGCAGGCGCAGAATCATATACCTGAGAACTTCCTCGGCCCTGAGCAGCATGTCCTCATATCGGAAGACGTAGATGGGGATGTCGCCGGCCGCCGCCACCCAATGGGACAGGTGCCCCTGCCACAGCGGCAAGTACTCCCTCACAACGATAGACTTCTTGTACATATACCTTGGAACCGCATATGAGACGGACACGAGGGGGGCCTGTTTTGACTGATCCCTTTGCGGCATCTACGAAACTCAGGCTTCAGCCACGGCGGCGCAGCCCCACACCATTCACATTCATTCGCAGATTACACTTGTGTACCCTGACGAGCGTACTCCGACAACGGGGTCGTCTGAGGAATGACGACGAAGGTCGCATTGTGGCCGGTGCAGGGCTAAACCACCCGTCCTCTCGACCGCTCCCCACATTTCAACCCCTTCTAGCCTCAAGCCGAATTAGTCCGGCCCCTTTATTTCCCTGAGGTTCGCACTTGAATCCATCGCGTAAACGCTGATGACTACCCTGAGGTTCGCGTTTCAACCCGTCGCATAAACGATGATGACCCCTACACCAGCGAACAGCCCCTGCCCGCCGCAACCGTGCACGCCTAAGCCGTGCACTCTCGCTTGTGTGCTCCGCGCGCGCGTGCACGCCGAGCAACCACCCGCGCCTTGTCCGTTGTCATGGTACCTCTAGGTTATAGCTGCTACGCGCATTGCTCTGCCAGACTTATCGAATAGGAGTAAGGCCGTCCATGGGCACGCCTTCTCACCCTCCCAAAGAACAAAACATTTAGGGATGCATTATGCTAGCGGTGAAGGTCGGACCACCGGTTATACACGAAGACGACAACAACACGCGGCAACACCAAACAAAACGGAAATAACGGCAATGACTGCTGCGGCATGCATACCTCTGCCAGGCGTCGTGGTTGTCGATCGGGTTTCTCACAAGCAGCACGAGCATGCAAGTCTCCTCGGGCATGAGGCTGGGCTTGTTGTACGACGGGAAGAAGGGAGTGTGGCTCTTGTACAGGATGGGAGACGTCGCGTTCGGCGGCCTGGATATTCCACCGCACGTGCACGTCGAGACAAACCCACGGTGTGTGTGGGTGGCCGGGGCGAAAAGGGGGGTATTTGGGGGTCACGGGGGGGGAGGGGCGCCCAGCGCTAAGCTCCATGCGAGGGTTATCATCGGGACAGAGAGGTGGTGGCGCAACCTCAAAGCACGCGAAGAGAGGGGGGGGGATAAACGCGCGGAGATTCCGCTTGTTTTCCCAGGGACTTGATCAGGACCAGGGATTTCACGGTACGGTTGGTGTCAGCGGTTCTCTTTTCGACTCTGGCGGAGTGGAGCACGAGAATAAGGCATCAGCGACAGACGCAAGAAAACTAGTAGGTGAACACCGACATAGAGGGCGGGTGGGCAAGAGAAAAAGCGTCCGAAAAACAAAAGTGAAAACGAATACAGAAGAAGAGAGGCGGCGATACCGAACGCGCGCGGCTAACCTCGAACCGCGGGGGCAGAATGGGGCTGCGTGCAAACGCCAGCAGAAGAGTTGACCAACGAATAGAGCGAAACACAACAATAACGACGACGATAGCAGTTTCGCCCACCTGAGATCTCTGCAGGCAAACTTCTTTTGTGATTGCAGGCGACCCTCCATGTGGTCCAAGCTAGCACCGCAGGGGTCATCCGAAGAAAAAGCCCGGTAGTGTTCCTTGAAAGTCCCTCCCTCTACCGAACCCATAGACAATCCGGAAACACACGCGGGATGGACGGGGGGATAGCAAAATCAAACAGGCGTTTGCCTGAAAGCAGCCCTCAACTTCACGACGCTATCCAAGCGCAAACGCGACAAACTGAGCACAAATAAGGCCCGGGGCTATGAAGGGTTCCGTGCCTAGCCTTGCCATTGAAGAAACGGCGGACACGCACGCCGCGTGTGTGACTAATCTTTCAAGTCGAAAACCCACAGAGGTACCGCCGTTGGGAGACCTGACATCACGCTTAGGCAGGGTCCAACGAAAGAGGGTCTGCTCACTCCGGACCCTCGTGAGAAAGCACCAAGCGAGCAAATTACCACACGCGCCAGAGGTGATACGAGTAATCAGCCGGTTGCGCGGGACGGCGGCAAGAAAACGCCGCAAAAAAAACAGTCCGGCGGCTCCTCCACACGAGGCGTTAACACGGCAACGCCTCCATCTCGAGAAGAGGAGCGCCGACAAAAACGCACGGGCGCGAGCGCGGGACATTGCGAAAAGCGGACGCCGACGACGCTGCGACAAAGCCTAGACGGACACGCCGTTCACCACCTCCCCCGCTGCACCGGCTGGAGCGCGGTAGACTCCGTCGTACCTTGCCACATGGAGAACGAGGGCTGCGAGGTGGCCGTCTCGAACATTGCCCTGAACCACGTGCTGCCCGTGCGGGGAACGGACGGCATGTGCACTCGGCAGTAGCCCAGCTTCTTGACTCGTTCGTCTGCCTTCTTCGAGCCGTACTCGAACCTTTTTTCGCGACCACGCACACAAGAGCGAATTGGCCCACAAGTCAAACCAAGGGGCATCATTCTGGCGCAAAAGGAAGCGGAAGGTTTCGCTAGATCGGCAGCCGGACGCAGCACTTGGCGACCAGCATCGGAAACACCAAATCACGCGAGTACATTTAGTTGTTGACATACCTTGCCACCGCAGCATCCAGACGGACCTGAGCCGCAACAATACGCCGCCACCATCTAACCGAAGCGCAAACCCCTTCCACATTCTAGCTAACCCCCCAAACTCCTATTTAGTTACACATGCCAACTTCGAGATACCAGCACCGATGGCAAGGAGGGGTCAGCGCGACAATCAGGCACCTGATCGGGCATGTCGGCAGAAAGCAACCGTGGCCTTCAAAAGGAACATGCGAGCGTACCTCCACAACATTCCGAAACAAATCCGTGCTCCGGCCCCTACAGCCAGTCTTACTCCAGCCGTAGCGTGTTCAATCTTCATGGATTTAAGACAGTGGGCAGACACATGCCACACACGCCGTCAATCAGCTCCGGCTCATTCACGACAGGTGCCATAATTCACGACCACGAAATGCTGCCGTTCCAACGACAAAATCTTCATCGTCGGCGTCGGAAGCCGACCCGCGAGCTTTGGACCATGCTCGTCAACACACACCAACACCATTGTACGGAAACGCCGTCACCCACCGCTGATCATGACCACCCTAACACGGTTACTACGACCACCGATGAATCTTCGCCCACATCCGTGGGAATTCTTCGGCCGCTTGATTTCCCCGCTGACGCGTAGAATGTAATTCACCGGAAATTCGAACCTACACCCAAACCTTGCCCGCTTCCCCATCTTTCCTACTAGAAACATCACCAGCGGCGGGAGAATCCATAGGCCCACCTGCTATCGAAGTTGTGGAGCCCTAGCCACTCTGCGTCCTGGTCTTCCGTCATCTGCAGCTCCCACTTGGCTTGTGGATTCGGGGGGACCCGTCTGAGGAACTCGTCATGACCCAGTTGATTTTTCTGCGTCAAAGACGAGAGCAAACGTAGACGCCGACACGATGAGGCGCGCGGCGTAGTGAGCGTCGTGTGATGTATGCTTGGGCTATCATGCTTCTGCGGTTGTCGTTTCTCGGCCCGCAGTTGGGAAAGCAGAGGACGACAACGCTAAACCAACCAAGAAAAGGCCGTCAAAAACACTACAGGGAACGCGGTAAGACAAGCTGGAGGACGATGTAAAACCGATCTTGGAGGAATCATTTTGTGTCAGGACAAGACTTCGATGGAGAAATTTACCCTCTTCGGGTGCGGGTTTTTCTATCCTCAACCGGAACAGCACGTGGTCAAGAGCACCAGTGGTTGTCGCGGCGCTTGGTTGTGGTTGTGGCGCAAGTGTAGCGTTGGGTTTGGGGCGCAAGGGTCGTTTTGTCTCAACAACAGGCGATAATCCCGAAGACTGCAAGGGCTGATTTGTTGCAGGTTTGCCACGCCGACAACAGTAACAGGCGCACGCGACAAGTAAGTAGCAAAGACGACACGCAGAAATGGCAGAAGGTACCATTCCTCTGAGTGCGCCACCCCCTTGTCCCGGTGGTGCTCCTTGATGTCCAAGTTCTCGATGTTAGGAGCAAGGGAGCCAGAGCGAAGGCAATACTTTTCAAAAAGTCGTGGTATGGCTAGCGCTCCCAAAAAATCGCGATGAGGAGAAGAATGCGGGCGAGGAAGTACCTCCGAGGGAAGCGGTGTAGACAATGCGACGGGTTCTGAATGCGTATGAATACGATGTAGCGACCTGTACTCGCGGACGTTGTTGTTCCGAGGGAGCGGCACGAACAAACACGCAGAAATACCCGGCCATGTTGTCGTCGTGGTGGTTAGAATGACGGTCGTGACCTAATGAAAGACCTACTGGTTGTGCCTCAGAAGCCATGAGCAAAAGTTTACTACTGTATGTCACCATACACGGAGTCGCGTCTCCTGCTGCTGTACGCCCTACATACATGTCGTTTGTGCACGTGGTGCTTGTAGTCATCTCACAACCTAAACCGACATTACTGCCACCCGCGGGATCCGGCTACCGCACGCTCCTGCGTTTGCTCGTAGCACACGACCGCGTCTACCCACATTCTTATGTTGAGCCAGCTCTGCCTCCTCGTATGCCCGGCAAGTCCTCCACTCCTCGCCCTCCTCGCTGTCTTTCTCGAACCCTATCATGTTCAGCTCTCGAAAAGTTGGCCGCCTGGCTCCCATACCCCCCGCGCCGCCATGCCGCCGCCGAGTATCCGAAGGTGCCTCTCCCACATTTACTACAGGGGTGGTAGTGGATCCATCGCGGTGTCCCTGCCGCACGACGATGAACGAAATGTACAGGCCCCACACCCAGAGCATCACTGCGGCCAGCTTTACCCCGGAAGACAAAGGGCCGATGCGACCTGGGTGGGGCGAGCGCTGCGCTCCTTCCTCCTGCTGCTGTGGCCCTGCATCCCTCGCTTTGGCCTCCTCGTCGACAGCTCTTGCACGCCGCATGGGTGCTCTCGCGACAGCAGGCAGTGCTTGCACGGCAGTGTGGCGGCGAAACTACAGTAGCCAACAGTCGAGACAGAAAACAGAGAAATACACCGACTAGATCCGCCCCAACAGGAAGCGCTGTGTCGCCGATTCTTCTGCCTCTGCTCTCACTGCCGTTGCTGGTATCCTTTAGCCCAGAGTGTAGCGAATCACCAGCAGCCAGCTCCAGCAGCACGGGCGCGGGGTACGGTGTAGAACACGAGGAAACCGGTGAGAAGGCGAGCGAGGCACTCGAAAAAAGGTTTCCACAAGTTCGCGCGGCCTCGCGAACGCGCGAACACTACGAACCCTCTGGTGTGAAGTGTGAAAGCTCGAGTCCTCGAGTGAAGTGTCACGCCTACATTGACATGATGCAGAGCACGACGGAGTTCTCTGGATTGACCATGCAGAGATCTGGCCCGCTACATACCAGATATTGTACTGGAGATGATGCGGATATATGCATATGTCAAGCGTCACTGCATCCGCTGCTCGCATGCTGGCATGTTGTCATGTTGTCAGTACATTTTACCATCCGTGCGAAGGGATCTTTACTTCTAAATTTACTGTCTCCTCATTGGTTGGAGATGCGCGTGCGCGCGCTCCCTCGGTGAACCTCTTTTTGGTTCTATTCACAAAGCTCTCCTGGGGTGGGGAAACCCCGGCGCTGTAGCTAGCTACATTTCTCCGCACGCCGCGCACGAGGTGCGCGTGCTGTGAAGGACGGACAGGGCGGCCGTGCTACCTTATCGACACGTAGCCTCTAGAGGGAGGCATTGCATAGCGTGGCTTCCACCGTTGGCCACCACAGCAGCGGTCAGTCGTTGATGCAAGGAGGTGAGCGGCATGCTGCCGAGCACGGGCTCTGCTGGCGGCGCGCATCATGATGCTGATCATGATGCAGGCGCGGATGACTGCGTGGATGGTGCGGCTGGTCGCCAGCACAAGCCGTTGTCGCACCCCTTGCCCGCAGCCCCATGCGCGAACACTGGAGAGAGTTCCAACTTCTTGCAGCAAAACCCTCCTCGAGAACGGACAGCGACC